GGAAGAAATCAAGCGAGCATAGCAGCGACACCTGGATATATACCGGAAAGTACGAATGGATCCGAGCACGCCTAGTTCCACAAAAAGCCCTCGTTGTGAATACAGTAGTGTACTGTACTGTAAACGGCTGATACAGAGTAGTAAGGTATACCTCCCGGTCCACCTTAGCAACGACATCTAACCAAATATTCCTAAGCTTTAAACACTCGACCAAATCTCCCACCCTGACAAGAACCGGAAGAAAGATGGTTATCAAGATCGGAGGAGAGGCGGATGAGATCCAGTGTACTTCACTTCGCTCTTAACCTTTGACGAAGACAGTTGTTTTTTTATGTTTGTGACTTTTTGTGAAATTTTGTTGCTGTCATCTGCTGTGTGGACTTAGAAAATACAGTCTACTTTGTGACGCTGGCCGAGGACTCTTACATAAAACCTTACTGAGTTAAACAATTGGCGGTGGGAACTTTAATGTCATGCGTGCATGAATTTGACGAACGTGTGCGTTCTTGTGAAGTGTTGGAGAGCGATTCATTCATTTGTCTTTTGTGTGGAAGGATCTCGTAAACCGTGTGATTCTGTCGTTTACCGCGTGGTCAAGTTTCAGAAATCGTTGCAGGCGTCGAATCCGTACTGCGACGTATTTGCGTTTAGATCACTGAAACTCTTCTGCGGAACGTGATCGTTTTGCGTTAATATAGCACGGAAAGTGACGATGTTGGAAGGAAGTTGCACTTGTTGCCTAAAAGTGCATTAATTCATTGTTGGCTGTTGTTTCGCGAGCAAGCCGCGAGCATCGAAGATGAAGCCTGTTGCCGTACTGAAAGTGAGTATGAAATCCGCTTTGTGTGTCACTTCGGTCTTGACGATTCTTTTGTTGCAGACGCTTGAAGAAAAACTATTGTGCGGCATATGTCATGGACCATTTGTGACTGCTATGATGACGCCGTGTTCCCATAATTGTGAGCACCAATTTTCACCGGCAAAAGCAGAGCTCATCGTTGGAATTGATATATTTTATTTTCAGACTGTTCACTGTGCATTCGGAAACACCTTTCGAAGAGCAGCAGGTGTCCTATCTGTCAGCAAGATATTGTAGTTCGAGAACTTCGCAACAACCGATTGCTCGATGAGTTGCTGGCTGACATCAGTTCGCTCAATCAGCCCGCGATTCCCGTGGTCGAGAACGTGGAAGTTTCTACCGTACAGGACAAGCACACGTCAGCCGAAAAGAGGCTAAATCAGCCGAAGAATCCAGAGAAATGTCCCACGGCTGCAGTTCCTTCCACGTCGACAGCTCCGAATGATTCTCTCTCTCAGTCTCCAACTGCGATGCAGCAAAAGGTGGCTTGTCCCGTTTGCTCGAAGATGGTAAGGAATCCTGGTGTTTCTGTTGTTTCTAGAATTCATGCTTCATTCTTGTATTGCAGATGGCGGAGAAAAATATCAACATTCATCTAGATCGGTGCTTGTCTGGCAGTCCATCTCGAAGTAAAACAGCAGCCAATGCGGAAAGTAGTGCCTGCGCTTTTTCTCTTCTCAGAAGGCAGCAATCCCCGAAGAAGAAACCCCAATCCCTGAATTCCGTGGCTAAACGACGACCGATGGCAAAGCTCGTTTACTCCATAATGTCCGAGAAGGAACTTCGTAAACAATGCCGCAAAATCGGATTAAGTGATAAAGGCAGTAAGCAAATTCTTCAAGATCGTCATCAGAAATTTGTGTTGCTGTATAACGCGGACTGCGATCGTTTGAATCCTACACCGGTTGAGGAATTGATCAAACGAGTCGAAGAAGATGAGCGAGACCTCGTGAATGCCGCTTCCGTGCCTGGCACTTCTGCATCAGCAGCGCAGTCTTCCCGCATATTCTCTGTGGACCGAACAAATTCCGATCCACGAAGCATCGAACGTGAACGCATCGAATATTTGAAGAAGCATAATCACCATTTTAATAGCTTGATCGAAGAAGCTCGAAATCGGATGGAAGTAGCGGCTAAAAAAGCTGTGAAGGAAGTCGAAGAGCAAGAACCACGACGATCTTCTTTCAAGAAACCGGACTCCGCAAACCAGTCAAGAACTTCCAAAGAAGGATTGCGAGTCCAGTTTGCTGGTGAACCCCAGATTGTTGCATATAGCAACGATACTCCTTCTAGTGAAAAGTTTTACATCCCGGAATCTGACGACGATACAGGAAGCGATCTTTTCATTTGTGACAATAGCAACGAGGAGAAGAACATGACATTGCATGACATTGAAGACATGTCTCCAAGTCCTGTGTTGGTACCGATGGAATCGAAGTCCATTTTAACGTCAGATTTATCTTCGAAAATGATAAATTTAACCAAGATTCTCACTCCTGATGAGAATAGTTTACCGTGTTATCAGATGCCTCCGTCTTCGCTTCCATCGGAGGATGCGCTTGATGATTCTTCGCTGATGCCGGTTATTTCCATTCAGTTAGAAGAAACTTGCGGTAAGTCTCCCAATTTTTGAAAAATTTATAATTCATCTACCAATTTCCAGAAATCCCCAAAGGCGGATTTTACTTCCAATGTTGCCTACTTTTTAGGCACCATTAGCTTCACTTCTATCATGTTGAATTTAATACGCTTGGTTTGGTTAGTTACTTGCATAATTATAAAGATTGTGTTGAAGCAAAAACTTTTTTACCCAAGTGAAAAAAAGTTCGTTCTTCTTTACAAAGATGAAACGAACGACGAGCCGGTTTCAAAAAATCTGAAGCGTCGGAGGCATAACGTTGGGCCACGGGCGAAGCAAGCTAAAAAGCAAGGGAAACCTTTGCTTGAAGAAGTTTCGGATGTCCGAAGCGACGAAGTTGATGATGATTTTGTTTCTCCGTGTCCTCCAGTGAAACGTTCAAAAGTTTCTAGACAAAAGAAAGAAGTTACAAAGAAGAAGGAAACGAATGAAGAACGAGTATTGCGAGAAGCATTCGAGAATGTGGGACCTGACGTATTTGAAAATTCCATGAGTTCGAGCCGACCAAAGCGGTCCACCAGAAAAGTTAACGTGTGATTTTTTGATAAACTTCGGTTGTATAAAACCACTTGTACTACTTTCGTCATTTTCCAGGGCATTTCAATATTTTTTCCTTCTGCTTTCGAAGAAACCAGCTTGAAGCTTTTTTGGATATTATTTTTGCATTGTTTGCGCCTATCCGTAAGTCACGGGATCAATCTACCTCAATGATATCCAGCCTTTGAAGGGGGGAAATAAAATCTGATGTTGAGGTGCTCAGGATTGTCACAAATTTTCAGAGTTAATGTTCACTCATTATGGATGCTTTTATTTACGTTTTCTTTTGATCAGCTTACTGCCTTCCAGCAGTTTCTTGTTACAAATTTCTGAAGTGAGGAGATTTTCGCCGAATTCATTGTGTATTGTTATGCTCTTTTGACTTATTTTTCTTCGTTTGAAGTTCATATAATCTTGAAGAATTCATTCGAGACCTTGAAAATTGTTTAAGCTGTTCCCGGATATAATATTTTTCAAAAGCTTTTCTGGGTTTTCCCCATGGATTGAAATTAAAAGAAAGCAACGAAAGGCCAAATTTTCTACTGGCGGTTCATTGAACCTTGAACTCTTATTGAGTTTAACCTGCGCCTTTATCCCACACATTCGCAGCATTGATGTTCATTCGCCCGTGACTTCCGTCTTGAGCTTGTCCGTGTTTTCATTCAATTTGAAAAAATTGTTTCTAGGTTCCAGTGAGCCCAATTCCTGGCATTTCTATCCTGGTGTATTTTATGAGTTCGTTCGGATCACGATATGGCAAGCGTTAAAGACGGTTGTGTTTCTCCTTGCGTGGCTGACGATGCATCCGCCAACGCTAGTCTTGTGCAGTCTCCGTCGATGGGCAGCATAAGCTCTTCCGTTTTCAATTCTTTGCGTTTCGACGACGACGATCCTTCTGTCGACGCGTCGTCCGATTTTTACGTCAAAGTCGACAACCCTGAAAAACATGTTACCACAATGGAGACGTTCATCACTTTTCGTGTGACGTTGAGGGTATGATTTTAAAATTTTGTGGTCGATCCAGCGTATAGCTTCCCTGTTAAAACAAAAAAGAAACTGCAAGAAGATTCCTTCGTTTGTGGACCCAAAAAAGTACAGTACTGTAGATGTATTTCTTGTACGTGTAATAAAACACCACTCGCCCTTGAATAAGATGCGTATCCTTTTTTAGTGACCCGCAAGCTGCAATTTACCAAAAATAAGAGAACACCCAAATTGTATTTTAGACATGAATTGAACATGCATCAACTAATTTTATATTGTTTCAGTGAAAATAAGTTTTTCTGATTAAATTTTTTCCAGAAATTTCCCATTAAAATCAATGCACACCTAAGCTGCTAAAACTTTTTGAAAAATGTATGCCCGGTTTTTGCGCGCATGTTCTCTCTCAATTTTGGGGGAAAAGTGTTTGTGGTGCTCGAGTAAAAATAGTAGAAATCCAGATTTTCAGAATGTAGTTTTCATAATTAAAGTTCCGGTTACTCTCTATTACAGTATTTACAATTTTACGAATTAATTTAGCTCCTCTGTTAAACTCTAGACAACAAGACCTGAATTCAACAACAGTGAATATCACGTGCGGCGACGCTATAACGACTTCAAGTGGCTGCGGAATCGACTGGAAGCCGAAAACCCTTCCAGAGTGATCCCTGTAAGTTATGCATCCATATTTGAAGATCAAATGGAATTTTAGGTAAAGGCATTTTCTGCGTTATTTCGATTTACTGTACATTACAATGGTTGGAAGATTGAGTTATACTTTCGGGTCGTTCGCCTCATGATTGACAATAGTATAAATGAAACGTTATTACTGATTGCGCAGAACATTCTCTGCGTTTGTTTGGCGTGGATTACAGTAATCAGTACAATTTCCTTGCTGATTTGATTTTCATATTCATTTGTGAACGTTCTAGAGACACTGTTTTTTACTACAGTATCTTTTTGCTAGCCCGTACCCGAAAAGCACAATTTGAAGGAGCAACTGGACAGATACGGCCGCGAATTTATTTTGCAAAGGATGTTCCTGTTGAACAAGTTTTTGCAAAGACTAGCTGATCATCCTGTTCTCTCTTACGACCAAAATCTTGTGGCATTTCTCACTAGCAGTCCTGCGGTAAGATTTTTTTTCAATTTTCCAGAGGAAAATTTTTTGTGAAGCGGTACATTGTTTCTTCTTCAGGAATTTGCGTGTCACAAAAAACGGAGAGAGGGTTTGTTTGTGAGGGTATCAACTTCCATGCAGAACATGTCCTCGTTGAGTGTTTATTTGATAAAGCCTCAAGCTCCGGAATTCGACCAGATAGGTGCTTACATCGGTAAATTTGGGGAGAAGTTGAACTTCGTGGGTCGTGTTGGATCCAGGATTCATCAAGAGCGAACATGTTAGTTCAACCAGAAATTATGTTTCTCATAGTGTTATAGTGACAGTTCCCTGTGGAATATTTTCCTCTTGAAGATTATGCTCGGGAATTGAAAATGTTGGCGCCAGCTTTATTGCTTTGGGCTAATTGCGAAAGCAAACTGAAGCAAACCTTGGAGATACTCGCATCCGCTGTCGATACCAGTGCCAAAGCAAATGATGGTCTTCTTCATTCTCACAATTTTAAATTTCATCTGGTATGTGAATCATGTTTTCCCGAACTTACGAGTACAGTACTGTACTGAACAAACCCTCAGTGTCGTTATATTTTTCCCTTGACATCGTCTTTAAGCATTGATACCCTCTTTGAATTTCCCGAATGTTCCTTTCAGAAGAGAAAAAGTTGAAATTGCGAAAATGTCTTGTTGATGTCACTTTTCAAAACTTTATTGACAATTTTTTTGTGATAGCATTCTTTCATGTGGGGGAAAATTATGGTTCTCTATTAGGAATCGCTTTCGTGAAAATTATATTTTTCTAAGATTTTTTGCGTAGAATAAGATTTCTAAAATGAAGTTTGTAAAATTTTGAAACAGGGATATACTGTTTAATGAAAAATTTGACTCGTGATCCTCAAATTTTCTTCCAACGATATACTATTATACTGTATCCAAGGGAAAAGGTCAAACCAGTTTTTATGATTTAATGCGTACAATTTTGAATACATTCCAAACATTTTTGTTGAACGCTTTCCAGCCGCTGAGAGAATATGAGTTGTGGGTCGACGCTGTGAAATCCTCGTTGAAGCGGCGAGATCATTTCCAAGTTGCGTATGAGCTTTCTGTAGAAGATTTGGAACGCAAACGAGCTGATAAAGTTTCGGTGAGATACTGTTTTTGTATGTAAAAAAAAAAAATTCTGTAAAACTTCATATTCATTTCCAGTTGAGTTCGGGTGGCGGAGAAAACCTATTTTCATTCTTCTCGGGTAAAGACTCGCCTGCTCTGCGACTCGTCCGAGAGCAGAAACTGGATAACACCATCGAAGCTGTGAAAAAAGATTCCGGGGTACATTTCTACCCTCACGCGCTTTATGGGTTCAAATAAGGAATTACGTACCTTACGTATATCTGAAATATCAATCGTTTACAGGAAAAAGGTGATAGAAGCGAAATGGCAAACGCGGACATCAGAGCGGATTTTGAGCGGTGGACTTCCATGAAAGATGCGGACTTACGATCAATCTTACTCTCACATGCCATTCGTCACGTTCAAGTGTATGAACAGGTTTGTCTAAAATCCACCTAGAAAAGTCCTCCGAACACGTTTTCAATTACAGTAATTATTTGCTAAAAAAACGTTCGCTCCAACTTTTTCCATGTGACCACAGTCAAGTCTATGTTCACTTACATTTTTTTGTGAGATGATAGTTTCAAAAGGGGGGGGGGGGGGATTTCAATGTAAAGAAACTGAAATATCAGCGAAAAATGGTGTCAAAGCGTTCGAATTGCAGATTTTGGCCGAATTTCAATTCATTGTGGCGATTACCACATTCGTGGTATTTTATTTCACGGAGATGAAATCAGCTCAGTAATTTTTTCTGAGACTTCATAGCATTGTTTCTTCGTTGTGAATTCATGATGCTAACATCGCCGTTTTTCAGTGCGTCGCAGCTTGGGAAAACGCATTGTCTCGGTTGTCGGATCATTGAGGAGCGGAACAATTATTGGGCGTTCATTTAATTTTAGCCGGCATTCCCTCGCCTGGATTCCTCTCATTTTCCAGGGGAACATATCTCGCATTGATGTGTATCGAAGAGTCCCCTGCGTATTTGTGATGTGCAACTAAGTTGCCAATCGTGTTTTTTGTTGCCAGGAAAATGAGGCGTTATATTCGTCATGTTTCTTTCTGCTTTTTTGTTGTTATCACAGCCATGGATGTTTTAAGCTGAAATTTGTTTTTCAGGTCATGTGAACGATATTGTGGTGTTCCGTTAGATTTTTGAACATTGCCGCAAGTGTTACGCGTGAAAATTCAAGGACTAGAAATTAACTTGAAGTGACGTCAGCGATCAGTCGAAGTTGGGAAACCCCCGAACGGTCATTGAATTTATGTTTCCATTAATTTCAAGTGCGTGAAGAAAAAAAATACTTCCTTTCCGCTTTCCATTTTTTCATGCATAGTTTCGCTTTATACCGGTCCTTGGGAGTGAGATTTTTCTGTTCCGTAAAAACACTGGTACATCCAGTCATGACTGAAGAAGTCAAGGAGGATCTCGGGGCAATGCGTAAGCCATATTTCACGCCCGAGACCTTGTTTCTCGAAGATGAGCTAGTCAAAGATCCTATTCAGCAATTCAAAATTTGGTTCGACGAGGCGAAAGCACATTCGGGGATCCGCGAAGCAAACGCTTGCTGTCTCGCCACGTGCGGCGCCAACGGATATCCGAGTGCGAGAATCGTTTTGTTGAAGGGCTTCTCCAATGAGGGTTTCACGTTTTTTACGAACTACAATAGCCGAAAAGCCCGTGAACTGGCGGATAACAACAAGGCAGCAATGACATTCTATTGGGAACCCCTGGTTAAGCAGATACGAATCGAAGGACGAGTCGAAAAAATTCCTGAGCAGGATTCGGAAGAGTACTTCCTCTCGCGACCTTTGGTGAGCAAGATCGGGGCCTGGGCTTCTCCTCAGAGCCAACCTGTGCCTGACAGAGCTTACCTGGATACGCGAGTAAAGGAATTTGAGACGAAGTTCGGAGATCAAGTGCCGAAACCGGAGCATTGGGGAGGATATGTGCTGCGGGCCGAACGAGTTGAATTCTGGCGCGGGCAAAGCAGTCGTGTCCATGATAGGATCAGGTTCAGGAAGCCTGAAAAGGATGAGAAAGTTGATGGTGTTCTCGTGCACCCGGGTTTACACGACTGGGTGTATGAGCGTTTGGGTCCGTGAAAATCTATGATCCTTCACAAGAGTTCGTGTGGAGCATTCCGTCTTCCTCAATTCTGGAATTAAACCCTCCAAGTGCCTTATTTAACGTGCAAAACGATGTCGAAGAATGTTGTGCAATACAGTAGTAAAGCAAAGGTTTCCATCTATTTGACTCGCTTAGCTCGTTTTAGAAATAATGTATATGATGGAGCCTTTTAAGAAAAAAATAAATTTCAGAAGCTGTACTTCGAGCTCCAAACGTAGTTCAGTATTTACTCGAGTATCACGCGCCCTCAATTAAGACGCGCTCCTAATTTTTTCAACCGAAACTTTTTATAAAAACCTCTCCCCAAGCATTACGCACACCCCATTTTTATTGATAACATTTGAAATACAGTATCTTAGAAGTAATATCAGAATTTAAATTTGTACTTGAATTGATGAAAAATTGAATTTTTTAATTTTCCGAGTGTCTCAAAATTGGTCAAACTTTGATAAAATCAAGTATGACGCAAACCTGCACTTATACATTTTGAAATAAATTTTTTTTAATTGTATACCCGCATATGAAGCACACCCATTTTTTTTTTTCATTTTCAATTTTGATTGGAAAAAGGTGCGTGTGGTACTTGCGTAATTACAGCACTGTATTTATTATTCCTAGAATGACCGCGGAGGACCGGTTGAGAAACTCCGGAGTATCGAATTGTGATGAATGCAGAACTCAAGTAATGATTATGTTCGAACTTTTGCTTTCAGTTTATTAAAATTTGATTTCAGCCCTTATCCACCTCATGCGAATGATTGTGTTCACCGACATGTAGCTTATTATTATGGAAATCAGAAATTTTCAATCTCTCTGAAGGAAACTGTCTTCAATTAAAAAATCGTATCAATGTATGTGGCATACGTTTTTCTTCAAGATGCAGTGTTACTTTTGTTTGTGAATGATAATTTTCGTGAAGATTCGCTTGAGACTAGGGTGGAAACCTGTGAGTAAATCCGTCGATTGTTTTCGTTGGTTTTTCGAATTCAGAACAGAAATGTGTTTAATTCTCAAAGGTTTAAAAGGAAAAATCTTGCGACATGGATAGCCTCAGGTTTGCCATGGTTCCTTTGGAAATGGAATATCAGGCAGCGGAAAACAATATCGCTTGGAACACCGGGCTTGACTTGGTAATTGTTTTGTACTTTACTGCCGATTTCTCTGTTGAATGTTTGGATTCATTTCATTGCGCGAGGAGAATGTATACAAAGCCGTCTGAAAAATTCTGTTTCTTCAATGTTATTCAGCTTCAAGTCGAACAAAATCCGTATAATTCGCTGCAATGGACAACTGCTCCCGAGATGGCATACGTAGCTCCACCGCAGCCTGATATGATGGTGCATCAAAATACTGTCCCGTGAGTACCGTATACAGTACAGCTCTTCTTCGAAATACAGTACTACAGGGCCCACGTGGGTTATTGTTAACATTTCTGACATCAGGTAACTGAGCCACTTGAGTCAGAAAAATACAATAAATTCACTGTCGGAAACTGATGATAGCTTTATTTTTTTACAGCGAATACTGTAGAACGTTTTTTATTGTGATGAAATACAGTAGATAAATTTGCATGGGGTTTCCACTCTTTTGTAAGGGATAAGCATTTGTTAAAGGGGTAAAATTGAACTGAATTGTCGAAAATACTGCCTCCAATTGATCCCGCTAATTAATTTTTCGAAAACTAAACAAGTCATACTTGACTCGACGCAATCTGGTTTTTCATTTGGGAATTACCTAGCATTTTTGAAATGAAACGTTATTGTTATATGTTTGAAGAAAAAGAGAAGCTTTTATAGCGCTATCGCAGGAAAATTTAAATTGAGGCGCCTTGATTCAAGTATGTGGGTGATTTAAAATAAGTAAATGCATTGATAAAGAACGAGTTCATTGAAAGCATCGGAAGTATTATGGAAAAACGTCAGTCTGATGGAAAATGATATGTTTGTCCTTTTTAGTTTCCTGGAAACTCATTATGTAGCCAGTGAACCCATGACCGCTGCTCCTACTGGAGAGTGCGTTACGGTTCTAGAAACAAGAACGCACGGATTGCCTGAAGGCTGGTGTAAGATGCTTGTGAAGCAAAAGACTCCTCCGGGGGAATCCTTCGTAGTTTGTCAAGTCACGGATGGCTCCATATTCAGGTACATATTTCATGTTATCAATTCAAAAGCGGTTATAGCCGTTATCTTGTATATGTAGTATAACCCAAATCACTATCCCGAGTCACTACAGTAGTATGTGCCCATTTTTGAATTTAATGTGCCCTTTTAATTGGAGCTATTGATGAATATTGCTTAGTCCTGTCCCCACGAATTAAACGCGGCACTGGTGAGAAAACCCATAGAGTCCCTATTTTTTGTTGGCGGCTGAGTCTTATCGTGTGATTACCCGTTTTGCTTTTTTAAGTAAATTAAGTCAACGATATCGGAGGTTTCTTTCAATAACGATGATCCTCTACGTAATTGGGAAGTTTCTTCATTATTTTGAGCATGTTTATGAGCAAAAGTGATAGTTGAAGGGCCGATTTATTAATCAAGACATCTTTGAAATAGCAGTGTTCGACGCGGGTATTTCTTGTATCAGAGAAGTGCAATGCTGTATGTTATAGTCTTGAGCATCAATTAATTAAACTTTTTTAAAGTAATTTACTTAATGTCTAATCCGGAGAGATCTAGAAGCACTGGAAGACTTCCAAGCTTGCAACCGTGCATTGTAGCTTTCCAGAAAAATTATTTGTTTCATAATTTTATAGGACTTCCGACGAAATAATGGACTACTGTTGCAAACTGGGGATGCAGAACGTATCATACGAATTGCTCGACCTGACCCCATGGCAGCACCAAGAACCGTCTGCTCATACTCAGTCTGTCGACGGTCAAACTACTTGTCCAGTTCCGAGCTTAACGCCGTCGTTATCCGAAGACGGTGATCTGAATTTCGCGGATCCCGGCAATTCTTACGACGTGCTAAATACGTCAACGGAAGGTCTTCCCGAGGGTTGGACTCGGGTTATTGTAAAACTAGAAGCTCACGGTGGGAAACCTGTGAAGAGTGTTTTCTTCATGTCTCCATCCGGGGATAAGCATTGGTGAGTTTTCATTTTTTTGATGAATAATTTATACCTCGTTGTTTTGAGAAGAACAATTGCTGCGAATTTTCGAGTTCAAGTAGATTTGTAAAATCATCCAACCCGAAGTTTGCAAAATTTTTATCGGCATAGAATGCCTGTGGGGTGTGTTTTGAATTGATTTGACCACTGTAAAATATTTGATAGCTTAACAAATTCAAAACGTATATACCGGTGGTCTCTCAGCAAAAAAATTCAGGGGATGATAAAAATAGAGAATACTGTATAGAGAACCCCATGGCACCACGAACACTTCTTGTCGAGAGAATCCGCCTGTACTGTATGTACAGTAACGTATCTGAGATAGGCATCAACGCAATATGAAAGGAGTTTTCAATTTCAACTTCTTATGTGTGTTAGAACTTGAAAGTACATGTACATTGCTAATTTATGATCCAAGGAATTCGTTTACATTAACGTTTTTGAGAACTTCGCTGGTTCGAACTGTTGCACCGTAGAGAGTGGCTAATTAGAATTTTAGAGAAATGAATTCCGTGTTTCGAAACTTTTACTTGAACTTCACACATTTTTATTACTGTACAGTATCATTAATGATATGAATTTTTTACAGTGAATAATTTTTTATTTCAATTATGCATTGGAAGCTTATACACTATATACAGTATATTGATCTTATTTCCCCCTTAAGTTACTGTCGTTAGAAAACTATTTTCCTCCAGTCATTATTTGTTACGTAAAATTAGTGATGTTTCATGATTATCGGGAAATAGTGTTAATCAAAATTTTCGTCTTTTTCTCATATGCTAAGGTCTATAAAGAGCGTGCGGAAATACTTCAAGGACAACAACCTAGGGAAATGCAATCCATCGGATTTCAAGTTCAGTTTGATTCGTAAAAAGCAACCCGGTGTTTCTGGACAGCAACTTCCGACTGATGTCGAACCATTAGTTCTACACACCTCCGTCGGCGCTCCCGCCGGGTTTTCCAAGGTGGCCCGGCGAAAACTCTATGGTGCCTGCGCTGGGACGTTCGACGTCTTTTTCATGTCCCCTCCTCCTCTTCAAAGAGTTTTGAGGTTTGTCATTCATACTTGTGCGTCACCGTTACGGGTGACTAACAAAATTCATGCGAATGTGTGGGGGGAAAAGCGTTGGCACATATTCAGAGAAGTATAAGACTGGGTTCGCAAGAATATATTTTTTACCTTATCTTTTATGCACTCGTGATGCTCATAACATTGAATTTCCACGATCAATTGTTTAAGGATACCTGAGTTTCAAATGTATTTCTCTCTGTCGAGAGTTTCTTTGCGAAAGGGCTCTGATTCTCATTTTCCCCTAGTTTCAACCCTGTTTTCAAAGATCATGTAGGATGTAGCTGAGGAAATTTCTTCTGAATGTTCTGTTTTGCTGGCTGATGCTTATTTTTGGCTTCAAGGTTGCCTTTTTTGTTTATTTTAATTTTACTCAATTCAGCCGTGACACTGTATACCATTTATTGGTAAATACGGTACTGTATTTTAATTTCGTATAAAATGTCCCCTTGTGTTGAGTGAACAGTGTCCCAAAATTTTCCTGTCGGAAAAACATGAAAGGAAGAAAATATGCAGTACAGGTATTACTGTCGAACGTCTGTAAGTCGAATTTCTGGGGACCTGCAAAAAATTCGAGTTAGAGAGGTTTTGAATAGGGGAAAACAAGCATTTTCGTTGCCGGGAAGGTAGAATTGCAGGAATTTGTAAATGTTGATACAGTATTCTAGGCCTTTAATAGCTTCTTAAAATGAGTTCTTGAAAAAACTGCATGATGCTGAACTTCATGCAGAATCCTGTCAAGCGATGCTGAAAGGTTCATTTTCCCAATTACTCTTTCACTCCGTTTCAAAAAGTATGAATTTTTCAATTGCTTTTCTCTCTTCTGTGTCAAGAAAATATGGCCGATAGGCCTCAGAATATTCGAGTTACGGAGGTTTGAGGGGGAAAGTCTTCGAATAAGAAAGGTTTTTAATGCAATTTTTCTAAGGGAATTGTGCGGGGACTTGGAAAATATTTGACTTGAAGAGTTCGAGTCATCGAAATTCGGCTGTATAAATTGTCTTCTTGGCATAGCTTTTTTTTTTTTTTTTTAAAGGAAACAGACAAATAAAATCTCGTACCTCTGTGTGACCGCAATTTTGATCGCGTTGAAGGAAACCTAATGATTGAAATCATCAAAAAAATTCGCGGAAGGAAGCATAATGGGAAATTTAATTTTTATCTTCGAGCTGTATGCATTTGACTGAATGAAAGTTCACATTCTTTTTCTTGGTGCATCATTTTGTTTTATTCTTTTCTTTTTTTAAATATTAAAGAATTTATGTTGGAAAAGGCCCCGTTTATTATAAAATGTTAGATTTTTCGGAATAGCAGAAATTGTGTATGTCGAAACGTACTCCCTATACCTCTTTGTAAAAGCAGAGAAGTTGAGAAATTAAAAATCTTCAGTCAGAAATATGATACACATTCTTGATGTCCGAAATTTTTTTTACAGTGTAGGTGATTAAATACAGTACTGTAAAAGTGTGGTACTGTATATATTTTCGGCCCATTGCCAACTTGAATGTTTATCCGTTGTACTCAGCACTAAATTGTATCTGTCCTTTTCTTTGTTTTAATCATAGGGCAAAAAAGGATGTCCTGGATTTTTTGGCGTCAAATAATCTTCAAGACCTGACCTTGTCGGATTTCGATTGGTCCAAGCCAAAGGGTGAAATTGATCCAGAGGTTTGGACAAAGATAGATTTTGAATTGCAGAGCGATTCTGCGGGTTACACTCGTTACCGTAACCTAACTGCGACCCGCGCTGAAAGTGGGAAGCTAAACCTGGAAAACGAGGTGAACTCTGATACTGTTCAGAGCTTCGAATCCGGTGAAAATCCTCTGAGTGAGCCACCCAGCGAACCATTTGAATCAAACGAGCAACCCGTTGACTCACACGTCGAGAACGGAACCAAAGAAACCCAAAGCTGTGTCCCTGATGTCACACCAGTTGATGCAGAATCGACATCCGAGTCTGCAGATCATGTGTCGGAAGTAACTGAGGAATTTCGGGAACCCGGAAGCCCGAAGGTGACGGAAACGTCGCCTGAAAGCGCCTCGGAGTCTAAGAAAGCTTCTGAACTTCGAAATTTCAGGTAATCCTGTGATTTAGGCTTTATTCCGTCTTACAATTGTCACATACTGTTGACTTCTGTTTACCTGTACGAACAGGTCGATAGAAAGAAGATTCCTGTTGAAAATGGCTCGAGTTTTTTACCTCTCCTTCTTTCTGGTCGATCTAAGAACAGAATTTTGCTAGATAAAGCAATTATATATCCCATGAGACGGAATGTTGGAACCTCATCAGTACCCTTTGACCATACTTAACATAAATTGCATTAATTTCTTTTAAACTGACCGGAATTGTACTGAACGAAAGTCGGGAGATCTTACGGACACCAAAAGAGAATTATTTTCTGTGATTTTAATTTTTTGACAGAATCCGGAAAGAGCATACTGGAAAAGAAGAAACTAGCAATACGGAGCTTGTCACTCCGACCAAAGATGCTCAGCGAAGCAAACCCGTTAGGGTCAGCCGTTCACAGAAGAAAAATGATAGTCCATCTTTCCCGGAATCTGGAAGAATTTCTCCCAATGCGACGCATTCCGCAGTCCTCGAAGCACTGGGAAAATCAAATGAGGACAAAATGATTGTCGTTCGTGGTGGAAAAGTGTCTGTTTTGGATTCCGACGCAATTGCTGAGCTTGCGACGCTTTGGGGCGCACCTTCGGCGCAGAAATTCTTAGATGAACTTGACAGAGTCATTGAAACATGCCGGAAATCTGGCTCGGCTGAGAAGCAGCCCTCGAAACGTTCGAGAAAATATGCTCCTATTGTAAATTCGCGACGTAGTGTCGTGAAGTCTCGTCGTAGTGTCGTGAAGTCGCGACGTAGTGCCGTTAAGCCGCTACTAGAAGGAAATCGTAGAACATCATCCCGAAGAAGTCTTCGAAACGCTGATTTTCCACAAGTGCCGTTCGTTGTCGCTGAAGTACCTAACCTTGTCGCCGAAGCACCGAATCTTGTCGCCGAAGTACCGAATCTTGTCGCCGAAGTACCAAATCTTGTCTCCGAAGTACCGAACCTTGTCGCCGAAAAGCCGATTGTTCCCAAAGTTCCGAAAAAACCGGGACGCCCTTCAAAGAAATCAGCAGTTCCTGAGCCAGTAATCGAACCAGTAGTGGACACTTCGCCAGTTAAGCGTAAACGAGGTCGACCGAGAAAAATCCCAGTTGAATCCGTCTGCCCACAAGAACAATTAGTGACGCCTCTTCGTTTAGTGAATGCGAAAGAGGGAATTCTCCCTTCGCCTCGTAAAAGAAGTCGATTGGAGCCTAAAGAAATTCCTCAAATCCCCGTAAAATCTGTTGCACCTGAGCCTGTTGTACTTGAAACTGAGACCAGCGTAAAATTTCCGAAGGGACGAAGAGGGCGTGTTTCACGTAAACGTGAAATGCCCGCATTGGTGAAACGTTTGCCTGAAGCACAAATCGTAGATGAACCCGGAACACCAATCGTAGAAAAACCCGAAGCACCGATCGAAGAAAAACCCGAAGCACCAATCAAAGAAAATCCCGAAGCGATAACACCAGTGCAAATGCCGTGTGGTCTCATGGAATTGGAATTTCGACGATCTCTGAAAGCCTTCGTGAAATTGACGGATTGCGCAGCATCTTCTGGTAGAAAAACTCGCGGAGGGGCAAGTAAAGACATTTCCAAGCAGGAAACAAAATCGGTTATTAAAACCGACATTGTCGAGGAGCGTCACAAGGTGTTGAGTAAGTCATGTGCTGGTTTGCCGCCTGGTTGGCAGAAGGTGACGTTTGAAAGGCAAATCGGAGTTAGGCAAGGACACGTTGAGCAAATCTACCAGGCTCCTTGCGGGAAAAAAATTTGGTGAGTTTTCCTTGCCTAAGAAAGCTGTCGTTGCCAAAGAAACTCGTTCCAAGTGAAAAATTTCGAGTTCATTTCCAATTTTTTTGCGCAAAAACATATCAATTCCTCTCAATTTCAGTTTACTGAGGTCAGCTAAGTTAAGTTTAATTAAATATGTTTCCCGGCCAGGGCAGTCAGGGAAACGATGCTATGCGTTGAAGCGTTACAGATCCATTCTCAATTTTTGAAACCATTTCTCATCACTGTCAATGAAGCACGATTACTGAAGACCCGTAGTTTTAGTAATGGAAAAAGTCGCGCTTATGTAAGTTGTCAAAAGTTGATCAGCTTTTGATGATGTACAGAATTTATATCGTGATGGATGATGCCAACCGTATTTATTAATTGAGATTGTATTCTATGGTGCTCATGGCTTTAGGTCAATGACGATGCTGAAGGATTACGTCGCCAAGTATCGTCTGCAGAACTTCAATTTTGGCTGCTTTCATTTCAAAAGCATGTCTGGTTTTGAAGTGAAGCGGAAAACAGCCATTGAGAAAGAAGTCTCTACAGAATCTCCTGAATCAACGCCCGCCTTAAAATTGAAGATTTCGCGGAAATCTCGGGCTTCAGTTTCCAACGTTGCACCCCTCAGAGTAACTCGCCGGAAACGCACGTTGGAGATTATGGGGACATCTTTTTCGAAAATATCCGTAGCACGGAAAAATCGAATTCGATCGAAAGGAGAAACTTACGAAATTATTGAAAATAAACCGACTGATGCAGAAAAACACAACGATTTACCTGAAGATGTTTCCTTGGAAGCTCCCGAATCACAAGAAAATTTTTCGGCGAAGACATTGAATGTGAAATTCAAAAGTCACACCATGGAAGTGTCCCGTGAAACTACGGGTTTACCAAGTGGTTGGTCAAAGATAATCACAAAACAGTTGAATCGGAAATTGGGGTCACACTCGGTTTGTTTCGAATCACCGGACGGCAGAAGATTCTGGTAAGTTCTCATAGGACCCGTTTGAATTTTTCTTCACTTCATATGATCCGTTGGATTTTGAAGTTGGGGAAAAGGGGTTTCTCGGAATTTTGTAAGTCTCACGATAGTAATCATCATTTTAGTTAAACGATATGTGATTATCGGAAATATTTTTCAGCAACGTTTGTTTTCTTAGTTATCCCGGCCTAAAAGTAATTTAGGCAAACCGATTTTGTAGTACAGTAGGTTAGTATTTGAATTTCCCTGTTTTCATCGATAATGAGAAGAGAATAATTTCGCGTAGAATACATTTTGAGGAGTGGACAAGCGTTCGCTCGCATTTTCGAAGATGTCGAAGCATGAAATATTCGTGTAGAAAATCAAATGCGTAATGCTCTCTGATCCTCCCATAGGACCCCTTTTGGGCTGAAGCAGTATTTCAAGGACTCGGGTATGACTGAGACCAACATCGCGTCCTTCGATTTTTCCGTTGAATCTCGGCTGTCAAGATTGTCGGAAGCTCTTCCGTCGAACGACGACGCAAGCGTCGAAAAGGATCCTGGAACTGGAGACTCGGTGGAGGAGACGACTGAAGGATTGCCGGCCGGCTGGTCTAGAAAGGTCGTCCGAGTGACGGAAACTTCGCAAGGCAAAAAGCGAGCTCGTCTCCGAGTTGCCTTTCGATCTCCAGCCGGCCATTCATTCATGTGAGATATCCGAACACTTCCAACGACTCATTGGTCCAGGAGAGAATGTCGGATTGTTTAATTAGCCTTTAACTCGCGATTATTCTTTCGACGAGCTAGTTTTCATGACGTGTTTGAATTTTTTTTCAGGTGTCTTTCCAAACTGAACGAATATCTAGACAAACATAAGCTCAAGGTAGACCGTGCATTGTTCGATTTCTCTGTGTCTGTACATCGTGATGCGTGCGAAGCAGGATTGCAGAAGTCTGAAATAATCACTGCGGGTACTCAAATGGGCCTCGAAGACTCCACATGTGAAGATTCGAAGGAACGTATGGAAAATGTATCTACACCTCTGGGTGTCAAAACCGAGCGTGTAGTTCAATGAACGGGAAATAGTAGATGGAATGTTCTGGCCTTTTCTCCTCTCAGACCGAAAAGAGATGACAAATTTGATATGTTTTTATTTGTAATAAATGATGGTGATGAAATATCACTGTTCAGATGCTGAAGGTGAAGTGTTTGTTGAACATTTTCTCTAACTATTCCGTTTCGTCAGAGCGTGTGTTTGATTGTGGATTTTGTTGCTGCAAAATTTGATCTCATAGGAACGGTTGAAATCGGGTTATTTGAGTTGGAAATGCTGTATTCGTAATTTTTCGTTTCCCGAATAAGTTAAATTGTGCTGGAGGGCATTGGGTGAAGTTCGTGCGTTCTGATTGCTCATGAAACGAGAACTTGCGAATTTTTGCATTTATTATAAATTTCCTCCCTCTACTGGCGATTTGTTTCTCTCCGAAATGTTGTCTGTACATTTTTTTCGGTTTTTAGCTGTTTCCTGGTTTGTTTTTTTTTAGAAATTGAAAGCTCAAGTTAACTTGCACTTGAGGAAAAGAAAATGAGCAGTGGTTCAGCACGCCAAAAATGATATGCCTCTCGGAGCTCTTGAACAAAAAAGTGTTCGTTTTGCGAAAGCTCGTGAGATTCGCTGTTATTGTTCGAATTTCTTCAATGCTACTGCTTATTTCCGAAATATTTTACAAAATGTTTGCCAAATCTGAGTTTTGTTTTGTTCTCAAAAACATATCGCCTCATTTCGTCGGTCTTGTTTACTGAGGTTTTTACTCGGTGTAGCTTTTGTTTTTATTGCAAATATTTCATTAATTATTTTTTCGTGAACAGAATTTCGTTGTAAGCGTGAGGCTTCGCTCATCATTTTGTTCATTATATTGGTCGGAAGTGAATCGAAATCCCTGTTTTTCGGTATTAACTCTTCTGTTCATTTGTCGAAGGTAATGAACTTTAACTTGCATTCATTTCTTTTTTTCTCTCGACAATTGTTTCTTTTTTGAGGCTTCGTTTCGTATGTTTTCTACACGACTACGTTTATTTTCGCATTTCCGTCCTGCGCATTTGCTATTGGATCAAATGAATGTTTTCCCCGCGAGCGGGTATGAGATTTTTGTGCTCGAAATGTTTTATTTCTTCAAAAGCAAAGCGTGTGAAATATCCTTAAGTCATTTTTTTCTCAGTCGTATGCGTGGCTGAATCGTATTTTTATGTTTTGCATTTTCAGATTTTTTCATTAATTTTTTTGATGGAATTTTCGTCGTGCATTCTCTCGGAGGGAGTTCAATTGTGATTCGTCTCTTGATTATCTCCTAAACGAACGCGCAGGCGTTCGCTTTCCGGATAGTTCGTGGTTGTTCGCTTGAAGGTAAGAATTTTGATTTTTTTTATGAAGGGACTTTTTCTTTCTAAAAATGTTGATTGCATGATAATTGTTCGTGTATTTTTTGATTCCGCTGGGAAAGAATGAATCAATACAAAAGCCATCGACCGAGTGACGGAGAGCTAAGTAGAATTTCGGACAGCTTCTTCCCTCAGAATTCATTGAGGTATATTATCCTATATTAAATAGCTTATTCGTTGCGTATCAAGTGATCACTAATGGGATTAAAGTTATGCAGGAAATTAAGCAACAGGAGGAATACAAAAAATTCCCGAGCGAAGAAAAAAATGCAGAAACTAGAAAGACAGTAAACTTTGAAAATGATGCTCGTTGCCGCATTTTTACGTAAATCTCGGTTATTTTGATGGAAAACTTATTTTTATGAGATCTACAGTGCTATCCTGAGCAAACTTTGAAGACAGATAGTGTCCTGCCTGCGAAAAATTATTTTCAGGCGTCCGTTATTTGAAGTATATTACAGTATTGTGCTTCGTAGTTCAACGAAGATTAGCGATAGGAATTGGTTTTGATTGTTTGTCCAGTCTCAATTGTGTGGAAATGGTTATGTGTGGATTGAAAGCGTCATAACTGCACTTCGCCCGATTTCTGCGTGTTAATTTGGTCCAGATGACGAAACTGGAAGACTTCAGGTGAGCGACAGTCGATTTTAACTCTAAAAAAGTGAAGTAAAATCTCGTTCTCATATCTTCCTTTTAGATCTCGCGTTGAAGCGATTGAGGAGAATAATGGGGTTTACAATTTTTCTTTCTCTCTTGACGACGATCCCGTCTCTCCAGATCACGCCGGGGAGGAAAACAGCCTTTCGGTGAGTTTAAGTATTTTTTCTGTTATACTGTACAATAAGGTTTTCTGACGGATGCTAGTGAGGGCGTGGAGCCCTTACTGTACAGTAATCCTGAATCATTGGGTTTGTTCCTGGAGGGATCCGGAATTCGAAGTAATCCGTTGCGACTCGAAAATAACCGGTTTGATGAAGGTTGATAGATGATGATCTTGGTGAACAACTCCGGTTATGTAGACATGACATGTTTCAATATTATTGCTGTGTGTCCAAAAATCGTTTTGGAAAATGAATGCCCGAAATTTTTACGAGAACAACAAAATTCAATTTTTTTTTCTTCCAGGACTATTATGAAATAATTCTGTTCAACTGTTCGAAGTACTGTATTACTTATTTTTGAGCAATGCTTTGAGTCTACGAAAAAATTTCAATACCTGATCAATTAGGCTCGTATGGACGGTTTTCATGGGTTCATTATTATTTTTCTTCGCCCATGCAAAAACAACGGTTGCCAATTAGTGGTAGGTTAACGTGGTATTTTGTTGTTTTTAAAGTCAGATGCTTCGTTTTCGGTGGATTTTGGACCTCCTTACGATTTGATTGATCTGAAAATGAGGGCAACGACTGAAAATTTGGCGCTGAAGGATGGTTCCATTCTCAAGATTATCTCCAAACCCGGAGCCGGCTCATCTCCGAGTTTTGGCTCGAAAGTTTCCGTACGATATAGATTATTCCTTGATAATTTGGAGGAGCCTCTCGATTCAAAATTTTCCAAAATCGTGAGTCTGCGCATTTTATTCCGCTCTCTTTTTTTCCAGATTCTTCATTGAACATTTTTTATTGTCGCATTTTACTTGATTTATTAATTGATTGATCCCGTGATGAGGAACTGCTCAAGAAGTTCTTCGGGATTGCTGTTTGTTTTACAGTATTTGTTTTGCGTTTGATTCTTGTTCTTGCTGCTCTTCTAATATGGTGAGCACTTCCTTTTCCAATGCAGCCTTTTCAGATATGGATTTTATGAGAAGCTTAAAACGTATTTTTTTGCTGAAAGCTTTCTCTTGAGTTTTTTTGTCGAAAGGTACCGTATGCCCAAAATTTTACCGGAAAAAGTTTGAATTACTCAAGGCCAAATTTGCTAGGGCTCAAGGAAAATGTTTCTCAATTTTCTTATTGTCATATTATTGATGGCGTTTTGTGGTTCAGAGGTGCTTGATAATCGAATACAAATGCAGTAGTGGTTTTTTTGAATTGCGAAATTCATTTTGATGTAGGTCAAAACCTTCGAAATTGGAAGCAACGAGGTGTTGATGGGGTTGGATATTGCAGTGTTATCCATGAAACGACATGAGCAAGCAGTGATCATCCTCAGCCCAGAAGTTGCCTTTGGTAGTGCTGGTTGTACATTTGCTGGGATTCCGCCAGGTACAGTACTGCATTGAAAAAATGTGTCAACCTCGTCGTTCACTAATTTTTCGAACATTTGTTTTCTCTGCAACAGCACATGATTATTGACATTTTCATCCCTTCGCGATTATTCCGTAGACTCTCCAATTATCGTGGAAGTAGAGCTTGTGAGCATTTCGAGCTGTACAGCTGCTCTTGAATGCTATGAAGATCCCGATTTTGTCACTCCTGCCTCACAACACAGCTTTGCGGAGATTGTATCCCGCGTCGCAGATCTCATAAAGGAACTGAAGCTTGCTGTTTCTGAGCCCAAACGCGTTGATGAAATGTAAATTAACCTAATTCAAATGTTATCATAATTCGATCGTTCATTATTTAATCGATATTTTTAGGTATCGTCGAGCAGATTCCATTCTTTCATCGTGTCATTTGGAAGGAGAGGAAGAAGAGATTGAATTCAGAAAATATTTAAAAAGCTTGTATGATGTTGTCGGATTGCAATTCGAACGTAATCATTCCCCTGCAAAGCTTGCGAAACTTTGCAGAAGAGCCGTGACGGATTTTCCTGAGGAAAGCAAATTCTACTACAGGTAATGGGCTTGTCTATATTGTTTAATTCACTAGTGAAAGACCTTTTGTAACAAGTTTGCTGTGAAAAAGTGAGGAACCCAGAACTACTCTAGCCAAAATAACCAAAAATTGAAGCGTCGTCTATCTGTCCTAAAACACTATCATTGCGTGAAGGACGAAGTAACGACACTTCTTCAAAGAATGATTTTTTCGTTTCATCGCTCTCGATTCATTTAGCATAATTGAGGCGTCTGAAAGTTCAGGAATGATCAAAAAACACCACATAATTTAAAAAGTCTTGCGAGGTGAGTTCCCTAGTATTCAATTCAGAATTTTCTTCCTATTTCTCTGAGATGGGGGAAGGCTATAGGGAGAATGTCGTCCAAACCTGAAGACTTCAAGCATGCAAGATTTAAACTGGAGACTGCCATGAAGCTTTCCAAAGATGAGCATCAAATGAAAAAGATTCAAGTAGCTTTGAGCAAATTGACCGATCAAGAATCACTGTGAGTTTTGTGTGGCATTTTTTCCTGTCCGGGTATACTTTCAATTTTAAGCTTTTTTAATTTTTTGCAGATTGTTAAGTACTTGTGCGGCATCTGAGTGAGTTCGACTGGATCTTTGAACTCGTTTCGTAATTTATTATCATGATTTTTATTTTATTTGCTGGATAAATGCCTCCAGGCCATGAGTTATTTGCTTTTCTTCATTAAAGGTACTCGTATATTTTGGGCGGGAATTTTTTTTTATTTTTGTGCGTGTTGTGATGGAAATGTGCGATGAAGAGTCCGAAGAATCGCGTCGAGTCACTGAATCATCAGCTGGGCTTCCGCCTGGGTGGAAGCGAATCCTTACTGAGTTTTTAGCTGGCCCTCGAGCTGGTACTTCCGAGTCCGTGATTGTATCACCAGATGGCAAAGAATTCATGTAAGGTTTTCTTCAGTAATTCTCAACCCGGTACAGTCAAATTGATATGACTTTATTTAAATTGCAGTTCAAAACCTGAACCTGTTAATCGAACAGAACCGGCAGCCGTTCAGGAATCTACCGACACGTGTGTATACATTTTACGAATCGTGACATCCATTCCGTTTGATGAACTGGAAAAATTTCTTTGTGACCTGTGCAATTTGAGATTTTTATTCTTTAGTTCGTGTCTTGATCTAGTTGACGAAGTACATGAAAAACGTGTATCAAAATAAGACGAAGATTGGGTTCTCGTCAGAAATACTTCGGTTACCACTGCCCAGAGTGGCGTAGGTTGAAAAAAATTAGGAGTTGCTAGCAAACAGAAATGTTCTGTATTTTTCACATTTTCTTCTAAGTTAAATGATCAAACAATGGCTTGAAATGGGTCGTAAATTTTATTTCATATCTTTTTTCGGATGATAAAGTATAAATTGTATAATTAATGTTCTCATTAAGTATAATTTGAATAGTTCAGACCTAAGTTGATTAACATGCAATCGATTTTTTCTGTCCTTATTCATCTTCAAGGATGAAGTTGGCCTCTGGGGGTCATCTTCCGGATAGCGGCTCCGATAGTGAAGCGGAAGAAGCGAAGCAGAAACAGAGTATGATTTTGCGGAGGAAATCTTCTTGTGAGTGCAAATTTCTCCAATCAGCGTTTAAATTACGTAAAATATTTAAATCAACTGTCTATTAAATGAAATTCCGTTTAAAAATATTTAGTGTCCCTGTAAGTCGTAATTTGAAAATTTTTTACGTCAGATGAACCGAATGAAGAAAGTGATGTCAGTAGTAAAGTCAAGAATCCTGAATGGAATTTGAAAGTCGTAGACCCGAGCGAACCTTGTCCATGGATGTTGACCGCATCGCCACTGCGGAATGGCCGCAAATTTGGGGAGTACAATGAGCTGGCTCGTACCACACATGGTGTTCCGCCTGGCTACCTGAAACTCTTGATACAGCGTCGATACGGGTGCATGACAACGAGTGTCATAATTATTTCACCTACTGGTAAACGTCTCTGGTAAGTTTTTGGGAGGGGTTATCTCGTCGAAACGCGTGCTTTCACGTTTTTTGAATGTCTGTTGATGACCTACATTTCGGGGACTCTGTTCGACTTACGGTTTTTAAACACAATACCGTAATTTAAAATCATTTCTGTGCTGAAGTACAGATTGAAGGTAGCTGCATTCTGTAATTTTTGTTTGGTTATTAGTTCGATTCAATCGCCCATAGTGGTCACACAAGTAGTTACAGCATCGCGAGGCTCTGAAAATGGATCGCATTGAAAATTTCCCCCAAAAACCTTGTAATTGGTTCTAAATGACTATTTTGTCTCATTATTTCCTGGGCATGAGTCGAGCTTTTCTTCGAAGACAAATTTTCATTTTTCTTGGTTTTTTATTTTGAGGGGGAGCGATTGAGTACCGCCCTTTACTTTTCAACGAGGTTTTTTTTTTCTTCTTCTTTTATAGGACGCCAAAAGACGTTTCAAAATATGCAGCTACTAGGGGACTTGATCTCAAACCGGAGGATTTCAACTTTTCAAAAGTTTTCCCAGAAATAGAAGAGAAACCTGTTCGTATTGTCCGCCCCCCGATTGTCACTTATTCGCGGAAAGATAAACGAACCCAAGATGACGTGAAAACCAATCGAACGTCAGACTCTTCCGTCGAAAATGACACATATTTGTCCACTGATCCGAATCCCGATTCGTCTTTGCGAAAGTCTCCAAAAGTATTGAAGCCGGATGTTCGAGACTTTGATGGAGTTTCCGGTTCAGCTTCACCAGAAGTGCCAAAATTGGAAAATCATCTCCCGCCAGATTCGGATGAAAACTCGCCTGAAACAACGAGGGAATCGATGCTCAGTCCGACAAAAGTAGAGGCTGACGCATCGCTTCAACGATCCTCGGAAAATGAGGATGTTTTGATGACCTCCGCGCCGGAGAACCAGGAAACATCCTCACGAAATGCTTCCAAGAATTCGGAAGTTTCTCCCAAACCCAGTCTTCCTGCGACATTTTCAAATTCGCCAAAGCGTGATGTGGCTAAGAGAGCAGCTGCGTTGATTGGTCGTGAGCAGTTGGCTCAACATGCAGCGGAAATGAGTGAATCTGAGTCAGACCTGGAGCCAGAAACTAATGGAAGAATATCATTGCCAGTTCCGAGTGATGCGTTGGACTCGGAAGAAGAACCAGACGAAGAGTTGTTTCGGGATACGGTTGGGCTTCCGGATGGGTTCCGAAGAGTGATATTCCGCCACGGGTCAGGGCACAAGAAGGGCAAGATTTGGTGTTTCTATCTAACGCCAGAGAATTGGAGATTGTGGTGAGATTTATCCTTCAACGTTTGGCTGACACGGCTCGCACGAAATAAATTCTTTAGACTGGAAAGAGTTTATTTTTTTATTTTTTGGACTTCAGAATGTTTCTGCTTTCACTTTCGTCCCGAAAACCCCACCTGCGAAAAAATTTTGCCTTAAAATCAATTTTTCTTGCATATGCGATGTTTGAGATGGTTGTTAAAACTCGTACGTCTGTGGGGGTGGAGAGGAAAAGAAATGTCTCAAGTTGTGTTTCCGAAGCCTTTATTTTACCTGAAGAAACTTCATTGCGTCCCATTTTATTACAGTACTTCGCATCTGATTTAATGAATTTGCACCTAAGTTAATTTCTTCACATCAAATTTAAAGTTTTTCACATCTAACTCCATCTTTTCACATCTAATTTACTTACGGTTCGTTTTTGTGAATGCTTGATCTTCTTGATTTTGCTGCATCAGTATGGCCGCCATAGTAATTGAAAATTGTTGTATGCTTTGTTACTGTTCAATTTTTTTCAAAGAACGCTGTTTTTCAGATTTTCGGGAGAATCAATGAAAGATTGATCCTTTAGTTTTAGTCATGCCTCCATAACAAAAAGCGAAAAATATATGACCGACGTCAACGAAACTCAACTGGAATCTATCAAGGTTTCATTGGATCAAAGTGCGAAAGCTAGGTTCTAAAAAATACATACTGTTTCTATTTTGACAGGGACATAAAGCAAGTTCAAGGTTTCTTCAAAGCTCGCAGGTTAACATCAGACCCAAAGCGCTACGACTTTCGTTTTCCACCTGGGCCATCATTCCAGTCTTTTGGTGCACCTGTCGTACACAAGAACGGCTTTGACTCAGATACTGAGGAAATGATGCACAAGGGGAATGCAGTCGTTAAATCTGACGCTTTGGCAAAGAAAAACCAGAAGCTACCGGCGAGCGAAAGAAAGAGAACGTACGTGGAAGTGTTGAGGACTTCGGAAAATATGCCTCTGGGTTGGGTCAAGGTGATCATCAGGCGTGTGGGTGGTCCACAGGACGGCGTGCACTACTCAGTCATTATGTCGCCAAATGGACATAGGTTGAGGTATTTGGCCTCCTCAATTATTCTATTTCTTCTCTGAACGAGATCGAATCACGACATATTCCGCGTAATCAGGAATGTCTTCGTTTGCAAAAACAAGATAATAAAGTTGCTCATTCGAGAATTATGGCATTTTTTAGCTCAATTTTTTTATGCAGAAATTGGAGTGCAGCGCTAAAAATTAATGTAGCGCTAATTAATTAATGGAATAATGTAAACCCACCTTTTTGTTTACGTGGATTCGGAAAAATATTTTATGCGTTTTTTCAAGTTTTAATTTCCGAAAAGAGTCAGACGCTTTCAAAGGATTAGTAAAAATCGGAATTTTTATTCGTCAATAATTTTTTTTTTTTTCAAGTGGAGTAAAGATATTTTTGTCAGGGGTTCAGGGCTTACTTTTGGGTAGAGGTTTAATAATTGCAGCGCCATTCTTGGAAGAATGTGGAACTTCTTTTTATTAGTTAAATGTGTCATGTTCATTTTTTTTTCAGGGCACCAACTACTCTCGATCGGTATATCAAGAAGCATGGAATCAAGAACATTACTGCGAGCATGTTTGACTTCCGAACGACAGAACTGCTGAAGAAGCACGAGGAAGAACAGAAGCAAATGTCCAAAAAGGTTGTTCGAGAGGAGACATTACCATCTTCGTCGCCTTCTATCGGAAAAGTTGGAAAATCGACTTCGAAGGCTCGTTCAGAGAAATGGATCTCTCCTACCCAACGATTATCCAATTCGCTTCTCCGACGTGCCACGGCTTCGCTTCCCGGGCGATGGGTACACCTGAAGACCCCGAAAACCATCGGACGCCCCAAGAAATGGCACTCCGTGGATAGAAAGAGAACGATTCGTACTCAGGACAGTAGCCGGAACCAGTGGGAAGAAATTTTTGCGACTGCGGAGGGCGTACCAGCTGGATGGAAGAAGGTCATCAAACGTCAAACATCCGGACGTGGCACTGGCAGGATCATTCCCTGCTTTGTCACGCCTTGTGGAAGGAGACTCTGGTAAAGTACAATAAAAAAAATTTTTAGAGCACTGTGCAAAGGAACTTGGATCATTGCCGAATTTCTTCTTCAAGCTATTCATATCGTCAGATTTATTCAATTATGCTCAAACGTAGATCAGCACTATTCCCGACGTAGTGTTTCTGTACACTCAAATTTAGATGAGAATTGGGATCATAAAAACCCAGTTGGTGCTGCGAGGTTTCCAATTTTATCATGAGTATCTCGTTCAAGCGAATTTACGGTTTATGGAGCTTCGACTGTACCTCATGTTATAACAAATTGCTTTGCAGTGGCTAAATCCATAATGGCCAGATAATGTTTCGAGAAGTACTGTAGTATGAAACAACGAATTGCTTAGATGGATTGTTGCTGTTTCGTTTAAGATGACCAGAAGTAATAACGAAGCATCGTTTATTGATGATGATTATATTGGAATAGAATAACGGTAATCAAATTCATTACTGTATTTGAACTTTCGATTCCTGGTGCGTTTCATTAGATAGAAACCTCTTGGTTATACGTGTCAACCTTTTTTCCCCTTTTTCCAGGACAACAAGACGAGTCGTAGATTATGTGTCCCAGAAACGCCCTCCAGGAGTGGAGCTTTCGCAATTCGACTTTTCTGTCAATTTTAATGGAAAGGATCTTTTGAAGTTTGAAACGAACGCGCAGTGATGTAACTCCGGCGTTGAAAGCGGTTGTTCCCGCTGTCGCATGAGGGGAACTCAAACGCATGGAAAATACTCTGGGAGACAAATCAATTCGAAATTCTGTCGAAACGAAGTGAAGAAATTATGGGATTTCTTTTTGCTTGATCTTTATTCATTTTTGATGATTCGCACGCGGATGCTGGCGTTCTGTTTTCTTTGGGTTAATACTTGGTGGAAATGATATATTGTTTTGTGGTTTGAGCTGATCTCTGAAAATTTTCTGGCGATGAGATAAAATCGAATAAATCTCGAAAAACTGGATTTTTTAAATTCCGAAATCCTCGTCTGCGGGAATTCCACACCGGAACTATATTTATGTGAGACCCAGTTCTTGTTCTGGACATCGGAAACGTTCATGTGGAATGCCGTCCTAGTAACATCGGTCGCAAATCCCGGTATCGTCGCAATTGATTATTGCACATTCATCCTCATAAGCGGGTATATATCGTCAAGCCTGCTACAAATAGAGTCCAAAAATGTGAGCATGTATGTAGCAATCTTTTTTTACGTCTGCCTACAAATATTATATTCTCTGCTAATATTTTCCCTTCTTTTGGCGATCATGAAGTGTACTGTTCAAAAATGCAACGTCCAACGTTACTCGGAGGAACAGCGCGAAACGGACTTATTTTCCTTCTGCGTTACAGTACTGTACAGTGGAATAACTCAGAAGAGCCTTTTGAAAACACTTGAGAACAGTTACAGCGATTATGACACTGTGCCCTAAAAAAATACTGTTTACTTGGACACTAGAACGCCCAGTGATTCAAAGAAATACTCGGGAATAAAAATGTCTTAGTACTGTGCGGGCTTCCGCAGATGACTCATTAAGAAAATAGTTTGTAAAATACTTACGTGAGTAAATTTGAATGTAAAATTGCTCAGGCTCATTATCGGAAGTGGAGTAGCAAACCCAAGTAATACAGTATGTACAATCTTGTACTGCACCTCAATTGTCGTCCTCGCAAGCTGCCGCGCTCTCTATGAGAGTAATAGGTGCAGGTGAGGGATAAAAATGTGCTTTCAAACGTGACCGCCTAGTTCACCGGTTTTTTTTGTTTTAGCGCTAAGGTGTAGGGCAACCGCGACCTACATCTGGCCGTGTTTACATGAGTGTTGAAGTACGGCTAAGCTCTAGTAAAGTACTGTTCTGTAGAGCGTGCTTGAAGTTTGACTTGCCCATCTGCGCGTTGAATTTCTGCGGATAGTGGCCTCTTTGGTTGAAACGTTGGTACGTCACACTGAAAGACGCAAAGCTTCTTGTGAAATTTGACTGGCCTGTGACTTGCATCGGCCAGATCGCGGTTCCTCCAGTTGAGTGTTGATGGTAGAAATGCGTGCAAGAGATTATTTAGTGTGGTAGAATTCTTTTTGCTAGAAGAGTGGTGACTTCGGAAATACTCCCGACGCTTCTCTCCTGTGACTTGCGGTTTAAAAATTTAGCTTCGCGATTTAGTGGGATGTATGAAGCTGGATTTATGAGCATTTGCAAATTTTCTATGTTAAATAGACCGAGGGCTACATGAAATATCCGTGACATGGATTTTGATCGACTGATGCTGGGCATTAACGCCCTGGCTTCTTCCGCGAACACAAAATCAGCTCGTCAAACAATCGAAACGTTGATAACAGTTTTTCGCAATCTTGAGCAAGGAACGGACCCGAAATTCCGTCATCTAAATTTGACGAAAGGCCGAGTGAGGGATGAGTTGTGGAATTCCATTCCTGCTCGACAAATTCTTCTCAGTGGATGTTGGGTTCACGTGGAATCGTCGAATAGTCTAGAATTTGTTGGTGATGATCACACGGCAGATTTGGTGTTGCAGATGTTGCTGGAGCACAGGTTTCTCTTTCTGAACATTATAATTTCTTCTAACAGTACTGTATACGACTTGTTGGATCGTATGATCGTATACGTTCTCAAGTGCAAGTGTTCAATTATCTACCCAGTGGATCATTTTACGCTTCTAAAATTTAGTTCATCGTTTTGAATTAATCAGGGAAAACATTTTGATAACGAACTCCATAAACTGCTTATTTTTCTTGAACAAGATTCAACGTCCTGGACGTCGATTCGGTGTCTAATTTTTGCAGAGAAAATTGTGAGAGCTTGGTGTTATTTTCTGAAATGAGGAATTAACGAACAATTGGAAGGAAACGAAATTAATTAAGCTTCTTAAATAAAGGATGGAATTCCTTAACATTATCCTGTAAGAATGTGATCGGAATTTGCACTACTGAAGCAACGAAATTTATCTGAACACCGGAAAAAGGATTTCAAATTCGAAGAATAACTCGAGACTGTATTGTATTTGTATGTACCACATCATCTTTATTTATTTTTATTCTTTTAGCATACCTGAGGTTTCGCAACATTGGGGAAGTAGTGATTCTATCTTCTTTTTTTTCCTTATCGGATCTCACTCATCGAAATTTGGAAGGCAATTGAAGCCGAAAGATCATGAATGGACCCGGGAAAATAAAGTGATGGATTTTTCGAAAACTGAGCGAGAAGATGCGTTGAAGAAAGAAGCTGTCGATGAACGAAATAAGGAATACGAAGCTTGTCTGAAAGATAAGGTGAAAAGCGTAACTGGTTGATCATGCTCAAATCCTTGTTTCCGCAGAGATGGAAGATTCTTGAAGCATTTTTTTTTTTTCTGTTGAATATTGCGGATGACATTGATTTTTGTATGGTGCATTATTATTTTTCAATGTTCCGCAGGAGGAACGCAGAAAACTCGCCGAAACGATCAAGAATGAACATCGTCTTGATATGCTTCGTCGAAGGATGAGTGATAAACCACTGTTTCCCCAAAGGCGCTAAATTCTTTGCGCCGTTTTTACAACGCTTTATTCCATCTGAAAGTATTCGACCTAGTCCGATACCTTTACTGAATCGGAAGTAAATAATCTCATTTTATGAACGTCATCATACTCCATTTTTTTTATTATTCACAGGCTCTGCCAATTCTTATCCGTTTAAAATTATCTTCGTATTGCAGAATTTTTGTGATAATGGACAGTGTAGACCGGTTTCAGGATTTTCCCATGGATATATCGGCGTGGACCTGCGAGCACGTTGAAGCGTGGTTGAAATCCGTAGATTTGGAGCAATATTCGAATGCTTTCGGCACGATACACAAAATTGATGGACGGGTCTTGCTTATGCTCACAGAGGATGATTTGCGCCTCCCGCCATTACAAATAGAAGTATGTTTCTCGCGCAACGTTTTAGTTCCATTTATTTGGATTTAGATCATTAGTTGCATGTTTGCTGTTCATTAGATTTTGGGTGATGCGAAACGACTGTGGTGGCACGTGGCACAACTTCAGAACGGCAGAACTGCTGAGGTATTTTTTCCTGCCAACGGAGCCGTTGGAGGGATTGATGGGGTTATTCGAGGGCCAAGATCCACCAAGATTCTGTGTCATCGATCGCCCTGGACAAATATGGTTTTTCCAAATTCAGGGAAAAAAAGGTGAATTCCGTTCCATGTGCTTTATTTCGTTGTCGCTTGTTCTGAAAATGTCCCATTTCTACTTCTGCATTAGTCGAAAGGATTAGTAGGTTTATTCTACAGTAATAATACATTTTTCTTTAAACTAAAAGGAGGGTCTGCATTCCTTCGAAAATGCACAGTACTTGCCGCTCCAATGATACGAGATTACCTTACATATTTAGAGAGGTAGACGTAATAAGGCCGACCTTGTATTTACTGTATAGATGTAAGCCAGGTGTTGCCCGAATTCGAGAATTGACGAATTAAACCACTGTACATGAACAGTATTGTAATCCACCTTGGACCTTATAACTTTTTATTCATTTATCAACGTATATTGAATAATGTGCGACGGCAAGGAAAATCCTGGTTTGTGGACCTCAATTATTGAACTGATCTGATATTGCGTCCACAATATAAAAAAAACCTAGTTCCTCAGCTTTCTCTCTTCAGACTACCCTGTACTGTACAATACAGTATTCCATTCCCAGAATTTATTTTTTGTTTCTCCTGTTCATAAAGGTTAATGAATACAGTATGTACAAACCATGTCGGGTACCGCTGAACATGACTGAAAATGCGTTTAATTGTACCGTACGTCAAGATTTGAAATGGAGTTTTCGGTTGTAGACAGCGCCGACGTTCGCATCATTCAGAGGAAATGAGTGTTACTGATTCAGACGTGGGAAGCAACGAGCCTTTGTTACGAAACCCAAACGGGTCCGCGACAAAACCCATTAATGTGGGGTCGCCGCAGAGTGTGTTGGGATCCCCGTCACACGATCGACATCTTGCCTCAAATCTCCAGCCGGAAATCTCAAAGCTTTTTATTGCGTGTTGTTACTTTCTGATGTCTACGTGGGTCACCGCCGTTGTTATGGTCGTCGTTCACGACCGTGTGCCTGATATGGAAACGTGAGTGTTACTTATTCTATTTTTAAAAGTCTGGGGGTATTATTTTAAATTTACTGTATATTGCGTATGTCGAAGGAAGTATTTTTTTCTGACGACTATCTCAAAAATTAAACTTCCTATCGTAACACTTCTGATGAAATGCAAAAAAACCACGGATCCCTGCAGATGACGAATGATTTCACTGTCGAATTCGAAATAGATGAAAAGCTGTGTTCAAAGAAGAAAAAAATTGAACATCGGAATAGTCTCTCTTTTTTCACCCCGTGAATTATAGACTGAAATTATTACCCCTAATTCGTGTTTTGGGGACCCAATCAAATGAAGTGCGTAATTTTCTGGGAGATCGGGTAACTACGTGTGTAAAAATAGAGTTGGATTTTGCCTCTGAAACTATCTTATTCGTCTGTTTCGGGAATTCAAAAAAATAATATTCAGTACAGTAATTTTATATAAATATACTGTGCAGTAAAATTTTTGAATATTTTTTTAGGCATCCGCCTTTACCGGACATTGTACTCGACAATGTCCCCTTGATGCCGTGGGCGTTTCCTATGAGCGAAGTGTGTGCTTCGTTGTTGTCGATGATTTCACTGCTGGTGCTGATTTTGCACAAACATCGGTGAGGACTAAATAATGGTAAATGACGTCCCTTTTTGTTCGGCGTGCGTTGAATAGTTCCTGCCTTGGATTCTAGGTTTGTCATCATGAGACGTTTTTTCGCATTGACTGGCACAATTTTCCTTCTGCGATGTGTTACGATGCTCATCACTTCGCTTTCCGTTCCCGGTAAACATCTCAGCTGCAAAGCGAGGGTGAGTCTTCATTTACGATCTGTTGTTTTTATTTGTCTTGTCTGACTTTTTAAATGTAGAAGCGAAGAAATATTCAATTTGCATGCAAATTCGTAAATGTGTGCGGGAAAAGGTTCGGGGGGGGGGGGGGGGAGAATTCAGTTTATTGCAACGCGATCACTGCGATGAGATCTCCAACCCCAAGAATTCCCCAAAAAATTTTCTCATTCATGAAAATTAGAAATTGATGCTATTAAAATAGAATATTTTCACTGATAATAATCGAAGGGCCAAAATAAGTAACTTGAGAAGTTAGTCTTGGAGTGTTGAGGTCCAGCTGTTATGTTAAGAAGGAAGTCTGACAGAAAAAAGCCATGTTGTTGAGAATTTCTTTAAGCTATATTAATGCGTATATTATATTTAAGACCTTGCATTTGGATGATAGCCAGCCAAAGAAACGCAATCTCCAACTTCTGTTATTGTTTGTCAGAATAATACTGACGACGTACAAAGTTGTGGTTCAAAAGGAGCCGAACATTTTTGTGAGAATGTTCAACTGAAATCTAGCGTGGTTTTGGAAAGCCTACACAAGATATACGTTGAATATCATTCTCTTTTCTTTCTTTCGTTTTCATTAGGACCCAAGTGGGGATCTCATGGTAAAGTTTTGGCAAGCTTACGAAATTTGGAGAGGCGCAGGGATGAGCTTGCAAGGCGTTCGTTCCTGCGGCGACTACATGTTCTCCGGGCATACTGTTGCCTTGACTCTTCTCAATTTCTTCATCACGGAGTATACTAATCGTCGGATGTATTTCTTACATACGATGGCCTGGTTGCTGAACATGTTCGGCATATTTTTCATACTTGCGGCACACGAGCACTACTCCATCGACGTTTTCATAGCTTTTTACATTTCTTCGCGATTGTTTTTGTATTATCATACGTTGGCGAACAACAAGACTTTCAAGGAGACGCGGTCCTCCAGAACCAGGGTGAGTATGAGTTCCATTGTAAGTTTTTCTCAATGTTTTTCGCTTTGCGTGATCCCAGCTCTGTAAATAAATTTGAACTTTATCGCTAGTCAGTGAATGAATTAAAATTATTCCCACATTATGATGAAAAAATAATTTTTCTTTCGTCAAAAGAGTCCTGTACTTTTTTCTGTACTTAATTTCAACGTCCAACGTACTTCTTTTGGATTCCAGACAGGTGTTGTCTTAATCTCTGAAGTCGCCGTGAATAACCTAGCCACACCTGAAGTAGTAAAATAAATAGCCTCAATTCTAGGTACTGTATTATGATCAAAGATACAATAGCCCAACTTGAACCCGGCACGAAAATATAAATCTCTCGCCTATGGAACATCGAAGAAAATTATGGAGTCGTAGACGTCGGCTGTTGAAAGTGGAAAAAGTTTCTTCGTCATTTTTCGGAGGAAATTAACAGTTATGTTCAAGCTTGGGTTGATTTAAAATTCACTGATGAAATTCCATCGAATTTTTTTTTTTGAATTCGATGTACACAGGAATTATTTTTTATTCTGCCCTCATTGCGTCAGATGAAATTTGAGGAAGTTGGTGATGACCGTTGGTAATGCGTTTTTTTTAAGAGGTTTTGGATTGTTACAGAAAAATGATCATGAAAAGAGTTTAAACTTAGCAACAATAAAGCCGAGGGTCTCAATTTTCTTCAATTCCTTTTTTCGGAGATTCAAATATCCACACGACCGCTAAAAACTGTTTTTTTTTTTTCAAAAAGAGGTTGTTTTCAAGAGAGCTTCTTTTTTTTAACTCCCAAAAGGATGTTCTTTGAAAATTCCTTTTCTTGAATGAAGGTCTGGTTCCCGATGCTTTCGTATTTCGAACGGAACGTGGATGGAGCCGTGCCGAACGAGTACGAGTGGCCGTTCAGTTGGCAGTATTGGCAGTCCATCATCCTTCAAGTCTTGCCATTCATTCGCATGTTCCAACAGTGGCTGAGGGACACTGCCAAAACTGCAGAACGTGTCGCAAAAAGCAAGCGGGACTCTGTATGCACTAAGTTGAGGGAAGTGGCGACGAATAGCAAAAGCTCCACTTATTTCCGCGCCGGGATCTCTGATAACGACGATGACCGTAGTTCTCATCGGTCCAAAACCCGTAGGCGAACCAAAAAACGGGGAAGCAACAAGATCAATCTGAGTTAGATCTAAGTTGAACGTATTATTTTTGAGGTTGTTTATGTTGATTTTTATTTTTTGTGGAATGGGATTCCAAATGGTTTCAAGCTTTAATCTGCGTTTCATCGCAACAGCACGTGGTTGGTGTCAGATGGAAGAGAGAATTTGCGGGATCAGTTCGCTCACCGAAAACTGAGCAATTGTTAATTTCTTCACGAACGGGGAAACAAATCACGCATGCATGAGTTACTGTGTCTATACCTGTGATCAGTGATTTAGATAGAAAATGCTCGCGGTGGATAATTGACGGGGAACGAGGAATGTCTTGACGTTGAAAACACAAAGAAAAAGACTTCTTTTCAAGAATTTTTATTCCGTCAGTTTTCGTTCGTATCACGCGTAGACTTGATTTTACCGTGAATTCCTCGAAAATTACACGAAATTTCTTGAATTGAATTCAAATCCTGTTTAAATAATATTGTTTTGGTCCCCCGGGGAAACGTCTCTGTTTTTGCGAAATCTGGTTGAGTGTATTATTTATATTGTTGCAAGTTTTATCATTCCCTGTGCGTAGAATTTATTTATTTATTTATATTTGGTTAATGGGGATTTGCGAATTTCGCAATTTTTGGTGTTTTTTCTTGTGGGCTGTGAGGGAAATCGTGCGAGGTCAGGTCTCGTGGTAGTGACTGCTTCCGTGAGCAGTAATCAAAGCTGATGATTTCGGAATTCCAGCTTCGGTGCTTGATTGTGGAGAATTTCGAGCGTTTATTGGAACACTAATTCTTGAAGCACTTCTCATGTTTCCATTTGCATTTGTGATCTCATTTGCCTGCCGTATACGATTGTGAACTAAAAATCTTGAGATTCTCACGCGTTTTTTTTTTCAGGAAAACTTTTTCCTTTTCTAGCACTTGGTACTATTTTTTCATGTGTATTTCTCATGGATGTTCTTGCCCTGTCTTCAAAATACGTCAGTTGTCTAAAAGAAAAATTCGATTTTGTGAAAAAAAAAATTTTTCAAGTATTTTGAGAGAAAATGTCTTGATAATTTGCGAAACATGACACGCAAGTTACTGACAAAAGTAATTGGCGATGATAATGTCTTCAATCTTCGGAGAAACTTGAAGCGGAGATGACGAGAAAAACTAAAAGAACGACAAATTTGCTTTAAATGATTACAGCTCATTCCCACCTTTCGAGCGGGATTGGTCTGATTCAAAAAAGGAAAGTATAATTTTGAAAATATCACGTTGCAATCGTACACGGCTAGTAAATTAGAAGATGTATGCTCATTTCATTCTTTGTTTTCCTCACGTGTCAACCACTAAATCTCAACGAATTTACATTTCCAGACCGCGTTTGAATCGTTCCCCGCGTTGAAATGCCGGGGGATAAGCAAGATTCGAAAGAAACCAAAGAAGAGCGAACTGTTGAAGGAGGCAAGGAAACGAACGATGACAATAATCAACCCAACGAAGGACGTAAACGAAGGTTGCAAAACGCTGGTGATGAATCTTTGGTAAACGAGAGCGACTTACCCGCAAAAGTGTCGCGGACGGACACTAAGTACAAGACGTTGGATGGGAAGTCAGGAAAAGTTGGGGATAAAAACGAGGTCGACGTAAAAGATGCAAGAAGCAAGGACGAGGCGAAGGATGTTGATTCTAAAAAGGTCCGTGCCGTTGATATCGTCAGATTTTACTCATGGCATGAAACCTATTACAAGATAGATAGTTGTATTGAGAGCGTTGAAAAGTTTACAGGAAAATTTGTGTTTTAAATCTTTGTCCAAGCTCTGGCAGAAGTTCAATGTAAATATGTGCAGTGTTACAATCGTCTTCAAACGCGAAAAAATATGTAGTCTTCATTACGAGGAATCAAACAAAAGTTTGCCGTCACTCAGTGAGTACAGTACTGAACTTGATGTCACTTTTTTTCAATTTTTTACTTCTCGTAGAAAGCTGCATCATCAACGTCATTGTGCAGTGTCGTATTGTCGCAAGTTTCCGTGAGTGGTGCTACTTCAAAAAGCGACGAGAAAGGAGAAAGTGGTCCAGTTGAAGGCACTCTGTCTGTGAACACGAATTCATTGAGTAAGTTCCTACTTTTCATGAGTATTGAAAACTTGAAGATTCAGTCGAGTTATTCTCAAAATAAATCCAAACCTGAATGCAATATCGGGATAACATTGCTGCGGGCAAAAAAAGGAGATTTCTTTTTTTTCATGTTGTTGTACGGATATGAGTCCTCGAGTAAGCTAGTGTACTTGGTCAATTCAATTTTTTGCGTTTCTTGTTGAATTCCTGATTTGGGTGACATCTGCGTTACATTCGAAAAAGCAAGTTCGGTTTTCATTACTGTACTGTAGTTATGATTGTAAGACTTGAGAACCTAGACTTTTAGAGGTACGGGAACATCCTTGAAAAAAATCAATTTGAAAATAAATAGGAGGGATGAAAATTAATCATTATTGTACAGTAATGTTCTGCCGTTAAAAAAATGCTCGTAATTCAAATCTCGTATAAATTATTATGCATGTCTTTAGTAGAACGTACGGAATTTTCGCGAAGGTCCAGTTCAAGGCGTTACGGATACCAAGTCTTATAATATAGGTAATTAATGTAATGAAATTAACCTATAGCCAGAACCAGGGTGAGTATAAGTTCCATTGTAATTTTTTCTCAATGTTTTTCGCTTTGCGTGATCCCAGCTCTGAAAATAATTTGAACTTCATCGCTAGTCAGTAAATGGATTAAAATTTTCAATTTATTTTCGGTGGTTTATTTCTGTTCTATTATTTATATTACCTTTTTTTTCAAAGGTACAAGTTCGCCGGGTTCTCAGAATGTCGAGGCGTCATCATCAGCCAAGAATCCTTCTCCGAGGTCCATCTCTCCGTCTGTAGCGCCCTCGCGCAATATGGAAGTGAAGTCCAGAGATGGCGGATCATCAAGTCCTGTCATTGCGGAAGAAAACGTGACAAAAGATGTTCGAGGGTCCAACGAAGCTGCGGAAAATGCTGGACAAGCCGATGCAAATTCACCCAGTGGAGATTGCAAGGGGAAAACTTCTTCGAGAGGCTCGCCAACCATGGATAGTCGGGGTGATCATGAAAATTTTTTCATCGAATGGTTCATTTCTCTGTTGCTCCTAGCGATGTACAGTAATAAATGTGTTTATAAACTTCGTTTTTTAATCTTATAGGGGACAAGGCACTGAAAACCGATGATTCTCTGGAGAACCCCGGTAAAGTTTCTGAGGCCATTGACGCCAAAGATCGTGAAAATGGAGGAACAGATATCGCAGGTAATCCTTGAAATACTAGTTCATTATATTGAGAACCCTCGGGCCCCACTCAATAAAATATCGAATCACAGTACTTATTTAAAACGTTGACAAACGCTCTTGAAAAAAACCGTAAAAATGTAAATACTTACGCCACTGTCGAAAATATACTCACGCTTTGTTTTTTCAAGTATAGGAAGCCAAAATTATTTTGTGGTTTTTTCGGACTAGGACTAGGTCAGTGTCTGAAATTGGGAGGGGTGATCAATTTCACTCTCGGAATTGTGATTATCGTGTGTCAGAATGAAAAATACTGGGGAGAAAAATTGTGGAACACTGCGGAGAATGATCCATGCATCAGTCGCGGGAGAAAATCACTGAAATGGGGCTTGAAATTGCTAAATGAAGTACTTCACCATATTTTTGCCAAACCAACTTAAGATGATGCTTGCCTCTTTCCTTTCTTCCCCGTAAACTTTAGAATTACATGCTCGAAATTCCCTGACAATAGGCGGTTTTGGTATAGGTGACACCGTGTATTTTCAACTACTGTAGGAAGGTGTTCATAGGTGTGCATTATTTTGAGGATCAGTTGAGTTTCGCGACATATTTTTAGAATACGGTAATTCATGCAGAGACGAAAGGGTTTTTTTTTTCTTTATTTTTCTCTGAAAAATTTCATTTCCTTCTAGGACAAGAGAAGAAAGTCTCGTCAGATTCGTCCTCTTTGCTGGTACCAAAAGTTGAAAATACGGCGGATGACGAGGCAGGAACTTTCGAAACGGTATGTTTTTTTTTTTCATTTGAATATTAAAGGCGAACGACAGATTTATTCGTTCTTTTCTCCATTTTCCCCCGTGTATTATTGTCAACGGCTGTCTGAAGATGGAAGCAACGGCCGACGCGGTGAAAGAAGAGCGTCGAGAAGATTCCACAAACGTGGAACATCCACGAAAGCGGAAACTCAAAACTGTTCGCGAGAACGGTTCTTATTACCCGTCCCCAACGGCACCGTTTCGGATCGAAGAGCAGTGTTTCTCGAATCCGTTCGAGATCTTTGTGAAAATCCGGAAACATTTAGAGATACAGAGACGACAATTGGTCCCCGTGCACCCAAAACCGCCGCAAGGGTACAAGGATTACCTAATTCACCGCGGCACGTACGTGTTGGACGGAAATCAGCAAGCCCAGTTGGCAGCGGCGACTCAAGTAACTTTGCCGTATTATTTCGAGCAATTTCCGGACTTGGCGCCCTTCAAGGAACTGTTCATCGCGCAAGAGAAGGAACGGGAAAAGCTGCGGCTAAGGTTAGTCCTTCCGTTCAATTTAATCGAGTTTTTATGTCGATTTGATCATTTACTCCACCGTAAGACGAATTTTTCCGAGCTATTTTATTTTAGATTTAAAAAAATGAAATGCATCTCAGATTTTATGTATCATTGATTCGCTTGTAGAAAATTTTTTTTACCCTCATAATCATTTTAATGGAAGTTTATTCTGAAATTCAATTGATTACATGTCTACTGATATACAACTGAGCAAGTGTATGAGGAGATTAATCGTCTATGGAGCAAAGTAGAATCAACGGATTTCTCTGATCCTGCAGGAGTGGAATGAAGTAGAGGCCTTTTAAATTAACAAGAAAAATCTTCGTAATTTTGAGGAACAAAGAAGGAAGATAGTCGCGCCGTGGATGACGTCGTATGTTTGAGTAAAAACGTTTTTTTTTTTTTTTCAAACGAGAGAAGAATCGAAAGGAGAAACTGTTGTTGTATAAAAAAAAAATTCGCCTGTTGATTGACTCAGAGGTACAGACTTCTTCGGTGCAGGTGTTAGGCACTTCAGGATTAATTTCAGTTTTTTTCTCTCTTTTTTCGTTTCTGAAGGCATTTGGTTGAAAAGGAGAAGTTGGTCTTGTGTGTGGAGCAGGAAATTTTGCGAGTTCACGGCAGAGCCGCCCGTGCTTTGGCCAACCAAGCTTTACCTTTTTCCGCCTGTACAATGTTGCGAGATGCGGTTTTGTCTAACCCACCGCCTCCGCCGCGGGACCCATGGCAAAATCCACATCAAATGCTCTGCTATCCATCTTGCGAAGAAGGGGGCTCTTCCCGTGATAGGTGAGTTCGTGTCCTTTTTCAGTGTGAGAATTGAATTTCATCAAAGATTTCAAAAATCATTCCAGAAACGATTTTTCACCGGAATTCCACTTACGTGAATAAAGAAAATGTTTATGTTGGGATTTGCTTATTTTTCAGGATTTCAAATAAATCTTAAGGCTCACTGCATCATGGAAAAATAGTATCGTCCAGTATTCATTTCAGTGCGCTGGAAGTTTTCAAAATTTATTGGTCAAATTTCACCTCTTTTTTATTGGTTTTCTGATTTTCAGAGTTCTTCGCTGATTTTTCTTGTATTTTCTCTAAGTTTGGGTGGATTTTTCACGGTCCTGGGTGTTCTAACCAAAAATTAACAAAAACACAAACATTTATTGCAAAATTTGTCATACTGAAAGCTGGGGAATAAGTACTTTTTAGATACCCAGTAATTCATAAAATACAGTACTTGAGAACGCTGAGTAGATTTTAAGCCTTGTATTGTGTGTTGTTCCCTAATGCATGTGTCGTTATTTCGGTTTTCAGAACGGGCCTGCCGACGAGCAACGGCGCCGGTGGCACGGGAGGCGCCCGATCACGTTACAACGGTCGCCTGTTCCTCTCCTGGCTTCAGGACGTGGACGACAAGTGGGAGAAAATCAAGTCGGGCATGGTGCTCAGGCATCACAATGAAGCCGAGGCGTTGCAAGTCGTCCAGCAGATGGATTGGGAGCTCAAGGTGCAAGAGATGGGGCTGAGTGATGAATTGCGGGCAGCAGACGGTGTGACGAGCACCAAGGGTCGGGATCCGCGCTGGAGCCAATGGCCTGCGGGCGTGATCCGACCGGACGATCGGAACATTCCCATTGTTCACGTTTCGGATGATTTCGATCTTTTGCCAGCTTGAAACGCGGCTGTTGGGCATATTCTTCAAATTTTTGTTTTCTTCCCTTTGGGAACTTGTTGGTTCGAGGAGTTGTTTTGTATGTATTGTGACGGGTTTATCATCTGTTCTTCTACCCGCAAGAATGTCCCGTCAGAAAATATTTTTGGAAGCATGTCTTGTGGTACCTTGTTCATGGGCTTGATCCGTTTCTTCGGAAAGTCCGTCATCTGAAAATTTTGTTGACCTAATAATCTAACGTTATATTAAATTCATAATCGGCATCAGACCCCCCGAAAAGCCCCGTAGGTAAGAAATGTGAAGCTATACCTGATTATTAATTTTTTCCGATCCTTTGAAAATACTGCATTCTTCGTAATTGGAGATTTTTATGTGTAAGTTATGTGATTCCAGGAAAATCCTATAAAATGAAAAATTCTCAACGTATTCTGAAGTATACGGTAGATCGCCTCTATCCACTAAAAATAATATGCTGGTTGCCGAATCTCCTGCAAGAAGTCCTATGTACTGTATTAATTTTTTTTTATTCAGACTTTTTGAAATCCTTACATTCAAAGCTGGGTCTACTAACCGAACATTTGTGATATCGTGAGTCTTTTTTCCAGGGTTCCACAGTACTCGATTTGTTATTCACGATAATGTTACGAATGAAATTTGACACTTACATCGGAAGAAACTATAATTATAATTTTAAAAATCGCATCTTGAAGAGTCGTTGGTCCCGCGAAGATACGAAGAAATTATCTTCTAATTTCAGTTAATATTTCCGAAAGATAGATTTGTGTCCATTGAAACCCACGGCCACACTGTGACTGAAAGTATGATCTTGCCTCTGCAAAACCGTTGTATTTTTATTCATCGTTTGGTATGTTCTTGTGCATCTCTTGATGGAAAATATTTTGGATGGAGACAATCGTTTTGAGCGTGGGATGTCACAGCAAATGAACTCTGTATGCTTGGAAGGAAATGCGAAGTGATGCGAATGTGACACGGTTTTTCATTGTTCATTTGCTGCTTGATTATTCCTCCGGGGAATTTTGACAATTCCACGTTAGGGTTGAAATTTCTCTAGCATTCCCAGAAAATTTCAACGTGCAAATTTTATTTTCCCGGAGGGGTGGAGTTTAATGTTCATCACAATTTTTTTTTAATCCATTCTTTTGTTGAAAATTTATTTTCGTGGAATCATGCTTGAACGTTCAACTTCAGAAAACTCGAACAGGCATAATTACAGTCAAAGAATTATTGAAGTAAAATACTATCGCCAAATCAGGCATTGCCGGTTACTTATAAAAATGCTTTCACTAAAATTCCGTCCTTCAATGTTTCAACTACCCGCAAATTTTGACCGTTTTATTCTCCATGTGAATTGGTCCGTTGGAATAATAACTTTACGCTAAAACTAGATCCATTCCTTGATATGCATCTTAGTAACCGTCGGCTGGTGAGAAACGTTATATTTCGAATGAATTAATCTCGCTGGCGTCGACGATTTTCTTGTTCTTGCAGATGTCTGATGACGAAATAATTGTGAGTTTCGGAGATGCAATTTTACGGCGATCTGACCTGGAGTTAATCATTGGTCCAAACTGGCTCAATGATCGTTTGATCGGTTAGTAATGGAATCTATTGGAAATTTTAAGTCGATTTGAAGTTGAATATAAGTTTTCTTTAGAGTGTAAAACACGTATAAAAGGTATTGTTTTTTACTTCTCGGAATACCTAATCCATGTGTAGTTCCCGATAAAAACGTCGAGGGTTTATTTATTTTTTCATCTTGCCTGTCTTTTTATTTTATTTTGTAGGTTTTTACTTCGAATGGCTCATGGCTGGAAATCTGGGCTCCAAGCCAGACTTGGAAACGCTCAAAAAGGTGAGTATCATCGAACCCGGCGTTGCTCACGCCGTCAAGATGAGTGGCTCTCAAGAAACAGAGATTTTTCTCGGTCCTCTGGATCTCCCTGACAAAGATCTGATTCTTTGTCCCATCAATGACTCTCACTGCACAGATTCGCCGAGTGGAAGTCACTGGTCACTTCTGGTGTACCACAGGTTCGTAACTTGATGCTGCATTCCCTTTTTCTTAATTGAGAAGAAAAAAGGAGCGTGCGCTTTTTTGGCTGGTATGAATTATATTTTCAAATTTTATTTAGAAATTCAGGCGCGTGTTATACTTGATTCTAATGGCAAACTTTGGACCAATTTACGCATAAAAAGTTTGTTCTTATGTTTCGATAGAGATAAAACATGTCTGTCTTGTCTAATTTGGGTTGATTTTTCTTTCTTCTTTTTTTTCGTTCCAAGCAGAAAAAGCGGAATTGCCGAGCACTTTGACTCTNGGGCCTTCCGACGAGCAACGGCGCTGGTGGCACGGGAGGCGCCCGATCACGTTACAACGGCCGCCTGTTCCTCTCCTGGCTTCAGGACGTGGACGACAAGTGGGAGAAAATCAAGTCGGGCATGGTGCTCAGGCATCACAATGAAGCCGAGGCGTTGCAAGTCGTCCAGCAGATGGATTGGGAGCTCAAGGTGCAAGAGATGGGGCTGAGTGATGAATTGCGGGCAGCAGACGGTGTGACGAGCACCAAGGGTCGGGATCCGCGCTGGAGCCAATGGCCTGCGGGCGTGATCCGACCGGACGATCGGAACATTCCCATTGTTCACGTTTCGGATGATTTCGATCTTTTGCCAGCTTGAAACGCGGCTGTTGGGCATATTCTTCAAATTTTTGTTTTCTTCCCTTTGGGAACTTGTTGGTTCGAGGAGTTGTTTTGTATGTATTGTGACGGGTTTATCATCTGTTCTTCTACCCGCAAGAATGTCCCGTCAGAAAATATTTTTGGAAGCGTGTCTTGTGGTACCTTGTTCATGGGCTTGATCCGTTTCTTCGGAAAGTCCGTCATCTAAAAATTTTGTTGACCTAATAATCTAACGTTATATCAAATTCATAATCGGTATCAGACCCCCCGAAAAGCCCCGTAGGTAAGAAATGTGAAGCTGTACGTGATTATTAATTTTTTCCGATCCTTTGAAAATACTGCATTCTACGTAATTGGAGATTTTTTTTTTGTAAGTTATAATGTAATTCCAGGAAAATCTTATAAAATGAAAAATGCTCAACGTATTCTGAAGTATACGGTAGAATGCCTCTATCCGCTAAAAATATTATGCTGGTAGCCGAATCTCCTGCAAGAATTCCTATATACTTTATTAATTTTTTTTATTCACATTTTTTAAAATCCTTATATTCAAAGCTGGATCTACTAACCGAACATTTGTGATATCGTGAGTCTTTTTTCCAGGGTTCCACAGTACTCGATTTGTTATTCACGAAAATATTACGAATGAAATTTCACACATCGGAAGAAAATATGTAATAATTATAACTTTAAAAATCGTATCTTCAAGAGTCGTTGGTCCCGCGAAGATACGAAGAAATTATCTTCTAATTTCAGTTAATATTTCCGAAAGATAGATTTGTGTCCATTGAAGCCCACGGCCACACTGTGACTGAAAGTATGATCTTGCCTCTGCAAAACCGATGTATTTTTATTCATCGTTTGGTATGTTCTTGTGCATCTCTTGATGGAAAATATTTTGGATGGAGACAATCGTTTTGAGCGTGGGATGTCACAGCAAATGAACTTGGTATGCTTGGAAGGAAATGCGAATGTGACACGGTTTTTCATTGTTCATTTGCTTGATTATTCCTTTTTGGAATTTTGACAATGCCACGTTAGGATTGAAATTTTTCCAGCATTCCCAGAAAATTTCAAATTTTACTATTTTCCCGGAGTTGTGGAGTTCAATGTTCATCAGAAGTGTTTTTTAATCCATTCTTCCGTTGGAAATTTATTTTCGTGGAATCATGCTTGAACGTTCAACTTCAGAAAACTCGAACAGGCATAATTACAGTCAAAGAATTATTGAAGTAAAATACTATCGCCAAATCAGGCATTGCCGGTTACTTATAAAAATGCTTTCACTAAAATTCCGTCCTTCAATGTTTCAACTACCCGCAAATTTTGACCGTTTTCTGCTTCACTCCATGTGAATTGGTCCGTTATAATATTAACTTTCGCTAAAACTAGATCCATTCCTTGTTATGCATCTTAGTAACCGTCGGCTGGTGAGAAACGTCATATTTCGAATGAATTAATCGCGCTGGCGTCGACGATTTTCTTGTTCTTGCAGATGTCTGATGACGAAATAATTGTGAGTTTCGGAGATGCAATTTTACGGAGATCTGACCTGGAGTTAATCATTGGTCCAAACTGGCTCAATGATCGTTTGATCGGTTAGTAGTGAATTCTATTGGAAATGTTAAGTCGATTTGAAGTTGAATATGCATTTTCTTTAGAGTGTGAAACACGTATAAAAGTTTTTTTTTTTACTTTTCGAAATACCTAATCCATGTGTAGTTCCCGAGAAAAACGTCGAGGGTTTATTTATTTTTTTCATCTTGCATGTCTTTTTTTTATTTTGTAGGGTTTTACTTCGAATGGCTAATGGCAGGAAATCTGGGCTCAAAGCCAGACTTGGAAACGCTCAAAAAGGTGAGTATCATCGAACCCGACGTTGCTCACGCTGTCAAGATGAGTGGCTCTCAAGAAACAGAGATTTTTCTCGGTCCTCTGGATCTACCTGACAAAGATCTGATTCTTTGTCCCATCAATGACTCTCACTGCACAGATTCGCCGAGTGGAAGTCACTGGTCACTTCTGGTGTACCACAGGTTCGTAACTTGATGCTGCATTCCCTTTCTTTTAATTGAGAAGAAAAAAGGAGCGTGCGCTTTTTTGGCTGGTATGAATTATTTTTTCAAATTTTATTTAGAAATTCAGGCGCGTGTTATACTTGATTCTAATGGCAAACTTTGGACCAATTTACGCAATTTTTCAAACAAGAATACAAAGCTATCTCTATTTTGTACAGACAGAACAGATTAAACCCAACTAAAAAGAAAGAAGAAAAAAAAGCAAGGTTCGTCTTTTTCGCCTTAACGGCTCGTGAAGCTGAGAATTCCAGGTTCTTCGAATCGAGATTGTGCCAGAGATTCTTTTTTGAAGCTCAAACCGTTTCTGGCATCTAAAACAAACGTGGAATTCAAAGAAGCGCGGTGTCCAAAACAGAAAAATTCGTACGACTGCGGAATCCACGTATTAATCAATGCTGAAAAATGCTTGCGAAATTTCCTTTCTGCTGAAAGCGGTGATGGAAAAGCTGGAGGTGTTGAGTTGAACCCTCAGCGGATGCGGGAGAAAATTGCGGACGTGATCCGCACCGAGGCTGAAAAGTTCAAAGCTGAATGATTGATAGTATTTTGATCTGATTTTTTTTTTCTGGCTGTGGTGTTAAACGCTGGATTTTCATACTTGTGAATATGGAGCTTCCGCGATTCCAAATTTTTTTTTACTACGTGTAGGACAAAGACAAGGATGAGAGCTTTTCCAGTACTGTATACGGTACGGTACTGTAATTTATATTGAACGGTTGAACCTGTCACCCGAAGAAAAGAGATTGGAGTACATTTCCGCTTCATTAATGTCTACCATGATCATTCGAAGAAGACTGTCCACGGAAATATTTGGCGTGTGATTTTTTATCTAAGCATTTTGATTATGAATCACAGTACCTGAATGCTAAAATTTGAGATCCTTTTTTGAATTACTTCGCGTTATTAGCATGATTTTCAACAACGGCCTTTTTCTCTACAAGGTGGACTTGCTTCTCAACTTTTTTTTTCAACCTTGAAATTCTCCGAACGATGACTCTATCCTGGTCCCGACTTGAATTCTATTATGCTTAAGCAGCACCACCACAAGTATATTATTTATACTGTATAAGCAATTTTCTCTCGTTTCTCACGTGTTGGAACATGACCTGGAATTCAGACAATATGCAATCGAGATGGGAATAAAAAATACAGCATATGAATTTAGCATCTTATTTTCATGGGTTTTCTTCATAATTGCATCACGTGGGCAATTTTGAGAAGATACTGTTTTTGTATGCATTTTCAAGTCGCCTTAATTCTGAATGAAAAGATCCAACGATTCAGGGAACTCGACCGTTTAGAAATATTTCGATTCATGTTTCTGTATTTCCAACCGTGTAGTTCATATTTACTTTGATCCCGTTTCAGATGAATGGTTAATAGGATTCTGTGTGTTATATTGTGGTCGATTCTCTTGAACGGTTGAGAAAATGGAGGGATTGGAAATGGAAACCGTGCTACCGATTGTGATCGCGGTGGTGCTCGGTTTGCTGACGTTGATCATCCTAAAGAAATTGATCTTCGGTGGCAGCAAGGGAAACCAAGTGTTGCTCACTGGTCTTTCGGGATCCGGAAAGACTTTATTCTGGTCTAAACTGGTGCACGACGAATCTCCTGTCACTGTCACGTCGCAAAAGGAAAATCGAGGATCTTACACCAACTCGAGAAATGTAAGTTGTGAATTTACTTTTTGGCAGTAAAAGAAGATCCTACGTCATATTGGGGACAATTTTTCAGAAAGTTTTAGACATCGTGGACATTCCTGGGTTTGACAAGGTTCGGTACACGGTTTTGAATAAGTATCGCACCGGATGCAAAGCCATTATTTTTGTCATCGACGCCGTTTCATTGCAGAAGGATATTCGGGATGCTGCTGAGTGAGATCCTCGATATTCATTATTCTCTACTAAAAAAATTTCCATCTATTTGCCTCGAAAATTTTGTCGAAAATCGTTAGAATCTCCTTTGCTTGGAAGTTCGAATGATTTTTTGCCGTGCTTCTTGAAAATCTTGACGCTTTACCTTTAACGCAATTTGGATATCCTTGAACGTGTCACTTCGGATACAAAAAGAAAAGTGTCTCGAGGGATGCGAAAGAAAGTTGTGTAAACAAACATCTGTTCATAATTTTGTCTTGACTGTGAGGTGTCGTTTTTTGAAAATGGCGTAATCCTTTCGAAAATGAATGAGATATTAAATTTTTTTTAAATATTAAAGTAGAGTATTGATTTTCACCAAGTTGAAAGCGTTCAAGATTTTTTCGCGTGAATTTCGTTTCAGTATTTCAAATTATTTTATTATTCGAATCAAATTGAAATACAGTATGGTGATTCCTCGAAGTTAGTGCACCCTTGATGAAGAACTTTGAAAAATGTCCGGGAAATTTAAAAAAGTTGCTTAATTTCAACTATGAACATCATGGCGATTGGTACCTGGTTTTCATTCGAATAAAAATTCAAATTTATTGGTCAGTCATGCGTGTCCCTAACAATGAACTATTCGTTGGAACGAATTGATTTAGTTCGAACTTACAATATTCGGATTGTTAATTTTACGACTCTTCAGTAATCCAAGCAAAATATACCTTCAAGTCCATGAAAGAAAAGTTGAGCGTTAGAATTGAAAAAAAAGATTAAAAATGCTGAATTTCTTTATTAATGACCAGGTACTTGTACAACATTCTGGCGGATGATGAGCTCCAGAGATCACGCCCGAAATTGCAAATCTTCTGCAACAAACAGGACATTGGCGGGGCGAAATCCCCACGAGCCGTTCAAACCTTGTTGGAGAAAGAAATCACCATTTTGAGGGAAACCCGGGCCTCGAGACTCATTGGCACTTCCGATTCCGGAGACTCTTCAAACAACAACTCGTTTCTCGGAATCGTCGGAAAGGATTTCGAATTTTCTGATCTGGGGAAGAAACAGGGAATTGACTTTGTCGAAGGTTCTGCGGTTGACGAAGGTGGTTTGAATTCTGCCAAAGCATTTATTGATTCGTTATGACCTGTGTGTTTTGCGCGATATGGAAGAATTTGAGAGAGAAAAAAAGGCTTTTGAACTCGGAAAAAAAAGCGTCGCATTTTCTTCTGCTGGGAAGATCGTGGAAAAAGTGTTTTCTCCATATCTTCTCCGAACTCTTCATGCATAAACTACCTTCAAAACTTTCTCAATTCAAGTTTCACGGATCTTGAAGAACAAAAAAGGATTCGCTTAATTCTTCAACCGTCTCTCGTGCTATTTTGCAGGAAGGTATGGTTATGTCACGAGCGTTGATGACCCGAGGCGTGCGGCGTTTTTGTACCAGTGTCCGTAGAAGGGTTAAAATTCTCGGGATCGAAACGAGTTGCGATGATACTGGAGCAGCCATTGTTGATGACACTGGGAATATCCTGGTAGAGTCCTTGCGGTCTCAGCAAAACATCCATTTGAAGTGAGAAGACTGACCTACACATGCAAGGGTCCTAACAAAAGTTCACGGAATTTGAATGGAAACGGTGTGGAACTCACCTGGGAAACGAAAACGATTATAGTTCAAAAACAGAATTCTTCCGAACACAAAAAAATGTAATGCCAAATGGCAGCTGTTGATGGAAATTGCGGAATGATCTTGCAGGCGTGAAGACAAGCCTGCAAATTAATTCCATGTTGATATCAAGAAAATTTAAAATGCGCTCTTCTTATTTGGCACCTGCTCTGCTTAAAATGTATTGTACTGTACCATAAAAAATGTATTGATTTTGCCAATATTTTTCTTTATCAGACGAATGTCGCAATTTTCCTCGTACATTTTATTGATTTAATGGAAAGGAGCCATTTCTAAATAAATGAAAAACGAGAGAAATTTTCTGGATACCAAGACAAAATTATCGTTACCCAAGAATATTTGCGTTTAATTTTTTATGAATGTTTAATCCTGCACAAAAAGTTGGATTTCCAGTTGTGCCAATTGCTAAAAGTCTCCAAGGCACATTCACATATTCAGGGCAAAATTTTTGTCCTGAGCTTCAAGATTGAAATTATTTTTTGCGAAAGAAAAAAAATTCATCAACAAAGTTTTTTAGGAAGAAGCTGCTGGGGACCGTTATAAAGCGGAATTTTAGTGTTTTTTATCTTTTGCATCAGGTTTTGGTTGAAATTATTTCGTGCAAATGAAAATTTTAAATAATAGCATGGTTCCTGTATGAAGAAGCGTCTGCGACCGTGACACAAACATTTCTTAAATTATAAAATTGGTTATACCAAGATTCGTTTTAAAACGGAATTTTAGTGCAAATTTATGCTTTGTTGTTGTTGACCTTTTGCATCAGGTTTTGGTTGAACTTATTTCGAGCGAATGAAAATTTGAAATAATAGCATGCTTCCTAAATGAAGAAGTTTCTGATGCGACCTCGGCACAAAATTTGCTTTAATTAAAAATTAGTTATAACAAGATTCGTTTTCAAGCGGATTTTTACCGTAAATGTATGTTGTTGTTAATGATTTACGTCAGGTTTGGTGGCATCATTCCGCCGCTGGCACGGGATCTCCACAACGTCAGTATAAAGTCCGTCGTAGCCGAATGTCTCGACACGGTCCCACTCTCAGAAGTCGACGCTGTCGCTGTCACGAACCGACCGGGCCTCATCTTGTCCTTGGAGGTCGGAGTCGGATTTGCCAAAGAACTTTGCCGATCCTGTCCGGGCAGAAGAATCCCGCTGATACCCGTGCATCACATGGAAGCTCATGCCTTGACCGTGCGGATGGTGGAAAAAGTGAGTCACAAATGTATCGGTTATGCACTAACTTTTAGAGTGGGGTGTGTTCGTGTGTAGAAAGTGAGTCATTTAAATTATTCACGTGTGTGTTTGATGGAGTGAGTGCTGCTGCTGAAGTTGTGTGTATATTGGAGAGTCCGAAGAGTGCAAGCCAGGTTTATCTTGCTTTCTTTCTTTCGATTTTATAGTGAAGATACGCATCTTCGGAAACTATATACTGTATTGCGAGAACAATGAACGCGGTTACCGCAATTTTAGAAGCCTCCATCATTTTCTGCAATTTAATACTGTTGCTTGTATCACGGCTGTAAGTGCTGCGTTCAAAAACTTGGATGCATATTATAGATTTTTTAGTGTTATCTTCACATGAGTAAGTGCTGCTGCGTTAAGATGGATGCGTAGAGATGCGTAGAATCCTTTTCCTTTGTTTAATTTCTGCTATGAAGTGACGCATTTCTGCGAAAATTTTACTGAAAAATCAATGGTAGTGGCAATTGGAAAAATACTTGTTCTTTTTGTTCTAGAATTAACTGATGGATGTGCAAATACCGTATTTACTCCAGTACCACCCGCTCTCGAGTAAGGCGCGCACAGGGGTTTTTCAGTTGGAAAGTTGGCTAAAATCTTATACCCGAGTAAGACACGCACCCCAATTTTTAGTGAATTTAAAACCACAAGATTGTGAAAATTAATTCAAACAATTTGAATTTAGACATGAATTGAACAAAAATCGGATCAATTTTCAACTATTTCAGTACAAGAAAGTTTTCTTGTTACATTTGTTCAAAATTTCTCCATTATGATTAAGTATAATGCACACATAACTTCCTAAAACTTCTTTAAAAATGTGTACCCACTTATGATGCACACCCCTTTTTTTCTTCTAAAATTTGAAAAACAAGGTGCGCGTGGTACTTGAGTGAATATGGTAAGTGCTGATTAGCACTGATGTCCAATCTGCATTCCCTGGGTGCATTTCCATTCTTTCCCTCTATGCTATAGATAATTTTTTAATTATCTGAATTGATGGTAAAATGATGGGAGAAATGCTGAAGAATTTTTCTTGCATACATCTTAGGGTTGGAAATATCTGTTTCTTGCAATTAAGCCTAATAAAAGACAATTTTGCTGAAATGTATCAGAAATTGTATCATGCAATGTCCACATGTCAATTCAGTGTCCATATGTTGGACCTTTTTCATGTCTTTTTTGTTGAAAAATGAATGTCCATATGTTGAGCTGTCCGCTTGTTGAGGTGTGTGAAAGTGGGGGTCTCACTGTATTTTTGCCTGAAAAGCAAATGTAGGGCACAGGCCCACAAAGAATTAATATTTAAGCAATGAATAAATCACCGGGAATTCCCGGTGATCACGTGATAATCAGCACAGCACTCTCTTCCCCACCCGGTTTGAATGGTGCAATCCTCTTCCTCCTGCAACCCTTTTTTTCCTCTGATCTACACAGTTTCTCAGATGCATTCATTGAATTAAGATGTTTAAAGATTTGCTGTCTGTTGAAGTATTGAAATATTTGTGATTGATTCTTTACTTTCATGTGAATTACATTTTGTTCTAGTCTTTTGGTATTCTACTGAGAATCCCCTGCCCTGTTCCCGGGCGGATTGTTTGTGATGATTATTCATTGCTTAAATATTCATTCTTTGTGGGCCTGTGCCCTACAGGGCTACAGCAAAGACTTTCCAAGTCATTTCCCTTTCACAGCACTCATTGTCTAAGGACATACACAAACCAAGAAAGAAGAAGCATCTCTGGAAAGCATGTTGCTTTTGAAAATTATATGTATTAATCCTAAATAATTATTCAGTTGAGAATTTAACGTGCAGACTAGAAAATGTTTTACTGAAATTTTGCTTTTTGACTTCTGACTCACTGCTTGTAAAAAAAAATCAAAAGAAGGGCGCGAATTTTCTGTTTTAACAAACTTCTCTGAAGGACTTGTTCCTTCAGAGATGCTCGCATTGACCTTGAATTATGACGCATTATTTAAAATTTAACGTACATTGATGTACGTCATTTTTTTTTGTCTCTCAGAAACAGATAAGTTTTACGTTTTATTGTCACGTAATCCGAAGAATGACGTTGTGGATGTGGTTTCACGGACCACGTAAAATCATGGCTGCGTGGTTGCACATGGATGAGTCTTGAGAGTGGGTTTTTTCCTGGTTTTTTGTGCTGATTTTTGCTGTTTTGTTCAACACCCTGAAATGATGGGACGTATGAAAGCAATGTTAAGAAACCCGTTTAGACACGTCCGCTAGTATAATGGTAGGAATAAAGACGCACTCACCGAATCCATGACAATGGAGCATTTTTGTCATATGTTGAAGTGAGAAATTGCCACCGGACAAAATTGTGTAGTTATGATATGTTATATTTTTTTTCTCCAAAGACTGGGAACTTCTATTTTGTGCATATCCTTTGATGATGAGTGTTGTTGAAGGGAAATGAAGCAGCAAAAAAAATGTTCATGGAATTATGAAGAATATTTCTTCCATAAATCACCAATTAAAAATTATATGTTGTAAGTCTATGGGAAAACAAGACTCAACCTAGGGACATTTTGGGAAAATGGACACTCTTGATGCACCAATTATGTCCGCATCTGGGGGTCTCAAATACTGTAGTCTTTATTGTACTTTTGTGTACAGAAACACAATTACACCTGACTCAGAAACAGGGCAATAACACACAGAGTTTCCCTTTGCAGGAGTCTAACTGATAAGTATAAAACCCTTCAAGTTGTCTGATTATCAATAAAAATAGAGTTGGTTGAAAGTCTGTCTATATTTTTGTCTTGGATTGTTTGGTGATGCTCCCTCTGCCATCAAGGGGTTAAAAACCTCTAAGAAGAGTTATTTAGATATAGTGAGACCCCAAGATGCAGACATAATTGAAGCATCACGGGTGTACCTATGTCAAGTCTCATTTTCTCTTAGACTTACATTATATAATTTTTAATTGGTGTTTTTTGTACAAAATATACTCACCATAATTCCATGAAAATAAAAATTGTCTCCCAATTAAAACTGATTCCCATCCATATATTTCAACACTATTGGACATTTGGGGAATTGAATTCTAATACCTCTGTGCAGTACATAGAAATGTTGGCATTCTCTGTAAAAATAACATTCAAGTGAAAAAGACAGAATGAAGTCCTTCCTGGTGGAGGTAATTTTTAAAATTAGCTGAATGGATGGTAAATTGATGAGAGAAATG